GCATTCCAGGAACCTCCTGGCTTGCTTATGCCCTGCCGTGTTGTCCCTCGAACAGATATTGAGGTGATTGAAGTCCCCCATGAGGACCAGGGTGTGTGACCGTGAGGCTCCTGCTATCTGTCTGAAGAGGGTCTCATCCACTTGCTCATCCTGGCCAGGTGGCCTGTAGCAAACCCCTACTACAGTATCCCCTCTTCCTGCCCTCCCTTCAGTCCTGACCCATAAGCTCTGGGTCAGCTCCTCATCCATCCCCAGGTGGAGTTCCACACACTCCAGCTGGTCTCTGACACAGAGAGCAACCCCCCTGCACATCTCCCCTGCCTGTCCTTCCTGAAGAGCCTGTATCCTTCCCCTCTGACCCTCCAGTCGTAGGAGCTGTCCCACCATGTCTCCGCGATGCCGATGAGGTCATAGCCCCTCACTCGTGTGCACTCCTCTAGCTCTACTTGCTTATTCCCCATGCTCCGTGCGTTCGCATAGAGGCATTTAAGGTGGCCCCCCGATGAAGCTGGCTTGTGGACTGGAGGATCTAGAATTCCCCTGATTTGCCTGCCAAGTGTTTTCTTGGGGTGCAGTGATTCTTCTCCAGGCTCTGTGTATCTTTTGTTGCCCCTACTGGTTTTGCCCCCCTCCCCCTTCCAGCCTAGTTTAAAGCCCTATCGATGAGCCCTGTCAGCTAGAATACTTTTTCCTCTCTGAGACAGCTGGACACCATCTGTCACCACCCAGCCTGGTGCCACATAAACCTCCCCATGCTCAAGGAACCCAAAGCTCCACCATTCACACCAGCCCCTAGCTATGTGTTAATCAGGTGTGCTTTCCTGTTTCTCTCCGTACCCTTCCCTGCTGCTAAAGGGATGGAGGAGAACGCTCCCTGTGCTCCCGATCCTGCAACCATTCGCCCCAGTGCCCTGAAGTCCTGTGCTGACTGACGCTATATTCTTAATGTTGATGGTTAAACCTTTACTACTGTGTATAGGAGAAAAATCAGGAAAAGTTCTTTTCATGGCTCATGGATACTTGAAACTGGTGGCACTTGAAGCAGGCAATTTCGTTTCCAAAGTCTGGGTTACCAAAATGTGTCTGATGTTCTATCAAACCTGAAATACTGATATTTGTCATGGATATCAAACCCCAATATTTGTACCTGGAAATGTCAGAATGAATTGTCTTCGCATGCTTGAGCCAAAATATGTCAGTTTTCTCTATCGCAAAAGCAAATACATTTTTGTGGATGGCATTGAAATCAGGTTGCAGCTGCAGCTTTACACAACACCAGACTATGTCCACCCTGGATATGTATCTATAAATTGAATAATAATAAAGTGATTGCCTGTTAAAAGAAAGAAATACATGCTGAGCTCTGCAGAAAAGGCAAAATGTTCAAATCATTGCATCAATTCTTGGGCCTAATTGAAAATTATTTTAGAAAGAAATACGACTTGCAACACTGCAAAGACTAGCACAATACTTTGAAAATATACCCTAGAGAGGTTCTGAATGAAACTTGTAAAAAGTAAATAATTCAGAAATATGACTGGAAATGCTTTCTTTGCTCCTGTGATCTGTATTGTGCAAAGACCAGGAGAGAGTTACAATGGGATTTATAGATTGAAGTACTACCCTTCTTTTTTTTTTCTTTTTATCTTTTTTTTTTTTGTCTGAAGTTTATAAAATATATTTTCCTGCTTTTATGTTTTTAAGTTATGTCCCGTAATATTATTTAAATGTAGACATGTGTGCACGTTTGTGAGGGTGTTCTCATGTGCATGTGGTAGAATATGTAGTGAATACAAAACAGCCACGTACAGAATATGGAATTAAATCTGTGGTTCAGATGAAGACCTTGGAATGATAATGGTGACTCTACAAGTCACCTATGAAGTTACTCCTTCATACGTGACATTAATTCCTCTTCTGCAAGGGCTTATTGCTATATGTATTCATCTGTTTATACCTCAAGGAAGTGAAATAATAATTCAGTTATTTTTATGCTGTTAAGATGTCAAAGTTTATCTGAGCAGCTGTTGTTTCACTGTAACATTTTCACTTTAAATGAATGTTAATTTATGATGTCATTGGCATTCTGACAGTGGCTGTGTAACTGGGACATGGAGATTAAAAAGAGGTGCTTGATGCCTAAGTATATACTTGTGCAATGTTCTCAGTCCTCCTATTGATCTACATGGAGCACTGGGATCTTCTCCCTACCCAAAGAGAGTCACAGGAAAAGAAATGTGTTTATTGCAACATTCCAGAGTGATTATGCAAGAAATGAATTTTCAAATTTCCATTTGAAAAAGCAATGTAAAATAGGTACACTATAAAAGACTAATTTTTTTTTTCAAATGTCTCTTGACCTTTTTTTTTTTAAATATTGTATTAAGTGAGATTTTGGAGCCAATATCTGCACGTTTTTAGTAGTGACAGGCATGCTACAGTTTAACGTGATTTTTCACAACAGGGTTTTTGTTTTACAGAGTCTTTTGTGGGCTGCTGCAGTCATGCTTTTGCACTGAGTCAGAAGTCTTGAGTCTTACTTGTGATAAACACTTGCATATTTTACTTCTGATTTTATGTCAATGAAAATATTTAATCACAGAAGAGAAATAGTGTTTACTGATGCTGTGATGGGTTCTTTGTTGTACTTCTGTGCTGAAGAGTACATTTCAAAGCAACCTACATTATACAAAAAAAATGTTTCTGAAAGCAGGGAAAAGGCAAGAATACAAATCTATTCTAAATGTGACTGAGCACAATGTGATAAGCTGCACTGGCTATAGCTCAGATGGAAGGGGGGGTGGGGTGGGTGTTCTTTTGCCCCCCAACTGCCTGCCCTCTACCAGGTTCCTATTCTGAGAATGGAACAGTCATGCCAGCTGTGACAATAGTCCATGCACACCATTGCAACAGCACAAGGAAGGATTACTGGATCCTTTTTCCTACCACTGAAATGAAATGAGTAAAATGCTAGAAAGTTTATGACACATGTTTCAAGAACTATGAATGAGATGTCTTTTAAATAGTAACCTTTAAGGACTTGGATTGCATGTGTGATTTATTTTCCCAGAGTATCAGCACATAGTGACATTTTTTTTTCAAAGATTTACACCTTTCAGTTATTAAAGCAGCTGTGAATCTCATCATTTAGAGGAATATTTTGGACATTCCAAAATATTTCACTACCTGTGACCTAGTATGAAATGGAACTACTCTATGCTATTACTTTAACGTACGTATCCATAGAAGCATAAATATTTTCAATAATTTAGCAGATGTTAATTTTCTGATTATTGTAGATCCCTTCAAATCAACTGGGCATCACCAGGACAACCAAATGGCATTATCCTGGGATATGAACTCCTGCGTAAAACATGGCAGAAGTGTACCCCACCAAAGAATCTGAGGAGCAACAAGAGTAATAGAATGTGCATCTCATTAGAATGTAAAAAGCGTGAGAACGTCTGTGGAGGAGTGTGTTATCACCCAGAGTTGAAGGTATATGTATATTCTTAAGTTAGCAGTATAACGAAAAGTTATGCTTTTAGCAATAAGTGTGCAAACCAAATCTCTTCAGTTATTGGAAGAAAGGAGTGGCATGTTCTGTTTGTTTGGTATTTTAAAAGCAAGGCTCTCATATGTGTCTTGGAACTTTTTAAAATCAAATATGGTTGGTTGAGCTCAGTACAGGAATAAGCATGCAAAAATCTCCAGCTGTGTATGGGAGTCAGCTGGTGACAAGTGATTCTGTTGTCTTAAGTCTGTGATTGTTGACTTGGTTTCTCCTTTCAGGATAAATGAACTGGCTTATATTTATGAATGTGTCTTGCATTAACACTTTGTTTTGGAGCAATAGCGCAGTTCTGAAGTGAATTCCCAGATTGTTTTCGTTTACTACATGCTGGTTCAGGGTAGAAGTGGTTTTAATAGCTGTGAACTCAATCCCTTGCACAGGAAGCTAAGACAGAGCCTGTGTTTCAAAACCCCTTCCAATATGCTCCAGCTCTGGATGGAGACTTTAGGTTCCCAACCAGCCTGTGGACCACCTCCCCTCACAAGCATGCATCTGAAATTTCTTCCCTCCAGAAAGCTTTACTCCACATGCACAAGGGATCAGACTGTATCTGGTCCAAAGTAAATCTCACAAGCCACATGTAACGGAAGTTTGAGGAACGTCAGTACCAACTTATTGAATCCACTGATCCAATGCCATTGTGACCAGTTACGTGGTGGGTACATATATCTCTAGATCTCTGCATGTATTTCTTCATCCCACCTGGAACAATCAGTTTTGCGCAGCTGCGTGTCATAGATCACACACTGTGAACTACTACAGGAGATTCTTTGTCAGCTCAAGTATTCAGGTACCTGTGGAGCACGTGATGGTAATTCATGTGGCTCCTTTGGCATAAAGTGATTGCACAGGACCACTTAAAGACCATAGGAAATCTTTTGGTTGTACGCAGAATTTCAAAAGCACTAATAAAACTATAAAGCTCCTCCCTGCGTGAGGAACAGCTCCTCAAAGCCTGGATGGCAAATAGTGTTTATTAACATGACTTGCTGGTTTGGGTTTTTTGACCCTCAAATTCTTCCTTGGCCAAATGCTTAATGAACAGATTCTCCAGTAGTGAAAATCTATTTAGATTCAGCTACAAGTGGGTGGCTGTTACATGACAATGATGAGCAGCTCTGAACAGGATCCATTGTGATTTGTCAGATGTATTTTTAAATTATGGCTATTTTCAGGTTAATCTTCATATGACTTCCCATTTAGGAGTAGGATCAATAGCACAGCAGGAGTCTGTAATGGTTTTTATTGACAAATGAGGTAGAAAACTCTTAGTTTGAAAGTAAGATTTAATGTAATGAAATAGTGTCCCTATTTGTCAAAGGCATCATCACATGTTCCATGACTAAAGCAAACAATATGTATTCACAAGATTCCCTGTCAGACAAGACAGTAATTAAGGGAGTGAGTTATCTGAGGGGTGCAAATCAAGATATAAATTATTCCAGCCAACACAGCTTTAGCTTTTGAGTTCCCTTGAAAGCAATACTATACTAAACATATGTATATCTGAAAACTTACAAGTCAAATTATGGGAATTCCTTTGTTCTAAAAGGTAAATTTACTTATTTCAGTTTTTTGGCCTGGTAGACTTTTTAATCTTGGCATGTGTATGAGTTAAATTTATATTAATTTTAGATGTTTTCTTTTCCATTTTTTATTTTTTCAGCTTTCATGCATTTATTGTAACTTTGAGCTTGGACAGTGTCCATTTATTTTTATAGCTTCCTGATTTCTTTTTTTTTTTTTAATTAATTTTACTTTTTTTTTTTCAATGTTTTTTCTGTATTCTCAGAGACTGTCGTTAGGAATGGATGATATTTGTTAAGTAATGGATATATAATAAACGACTGGAAGGTCCACAGTATATGCACACATACATAAAATGACATGGGAGTGATTTTTGTGGGTGAATTGATGAAAATTCCTCCCTCAATACTTTGCTTGGTTTGCTATGAGCATCCGCACTAGATATCCAAAATGTTTGTAAGAGATAAGTACAGAGCTCCTGGCACATTCATGTTTCTCTTAAACTAGGGTCTTCAACAGGGACAGCGTAAGACCTTACATGGCAGCCCTCCATCCCACTTGTATAAAACTCACTGTCATCCCATGCCAGCTATAATGCTGAAGCATTTATGCTATATGTGTGGTCCTTAGATTTGACAGTCCACTGGAGAGAAGTGAAGAAAAACAACACTGACCAGCATACACTTGTTCTAGAAAGCAAGCCTCTTACCACAGTGCTAGCTGCTGTTCACCATCCCTTAACTGTAGAGCTAAATACAGAGGTGCCACTGAGAATTAAATACAGCTTAAGTAATGTTGCAATCCAGAACAATAAACAAGTTTTTTGTTCATTTGATGACAGCAAAAGCAGGCAGGTTCTGTATACGTAGTTGCACTAGACAAGTAGGTTGTGGAGTCTCACTTTTGCTCTGGTCATGTATTGCACTTTGTATACAAGACACAATGGGTCTAATTTCCCTCTTAAAATTTCCTTGAATTCAGAAGTATAAAGTGGGAGGAAAACTAGGCCTTTTATACAAAATCAATTTGGAGATATATTTGGGATCTTTATTAACATTTCCTTATGGATTTATGGGTTACATTTGGCATCATCAGCTTGCTACTGCAAGGCACTGGAGAAAAAGGGGGATTTGTTATCATTTCTTACCTACATAAGAGATCACCAAAATATAATCCACCCCATCCATAGAAACCAAAGTGTTTCAGTAGTAGGAATACAAGGGTGTGTTTTCAAACTTTGCTAACGTTGGCTGAGTTGGGTCCAGCTAAGTAGCACAGTTATATCAAAAGGCAGTGCTGAATACCCCAGGTGAAGGGTGGCACTGGTATATGTGTGCTGCCTTTGGGATCCAGGTTAGGATCTCTGCACAGCACTGTGCTGTGTAAACAGATGAACTTACTCAGACCTGTCTTGGGAATCTTTCAAAGAGCAAATGACTTTTTCACTACAAGGGACGTGTACATGCACATGCTCATGTAGGCCTCATATTAAGCCTAATGAAGAGAAAAAAGGATTCCTGCTATCCTAAATAATCTTTGCATCAGATCTCTACTTTGTATTTCTAGTTGCTAGCTAGTTTTCTGCTTCAGTGTTAGAAATCTTTGTTATTTTAACTAAAGCTAACACTGTGCCTTGCCAGGCATCCTTACCCTGGTGTTTGTAATCAGACTTTAATGGATTTATAATTCTTGAGTGCAAAAGTAATATAGACAGGGCTTTTTTGTGTGTGTAGTTTTGCAAAAAAAGCTGAGAATACACTCTCACGAGGAATTGTATCAGTTGCCTGGAGGGTCCCTATGCCCTGTGTACCTTCCAGGTAAACAGACCTGTGCTGCTTAGGTGTTTCCAAGCTGCCAAAATTGACAGTCTTTTCCCATGTTTTTTCAATAAAGTGTGATCCATAACTCTATTCTTATTTGAAATCTCAGACATCAGCTTACAGCGCACATATCACAGAATGTGCAGAGATGTACTTCAATTAACAAGGGAAAGTGCCCTGGCTTCACTCGTCAGGGAGCATAATCTCAGTACCAGTGAGAAAGGCATTCCTTTATTATCCATGTAGCTACCAAACTATCCTTCTGTTGTTACTGGCATCCTGAGCTGAGCACTGAAAATAAGGAGACAGGTACAGTAAAGAAATAATTAAAATAGTGGCATAAAGGCTAATAATTTCTGTTCACAATGGATCATGAGTATGAACATAAATGGTTAAAAGGAGCCTGATTGAAGGTGTTAATACAGCTTCAGCACTTTTTATTTTCAGTACCAACAAGCCGTATGAATCTGCAGTTAATGAACTAATAAAATATAACTCTGACATTACTAGGAGGTACAGGCTTACCCCTTTACTCACCATAATTACCATGTGCCATTTGTTAAAAACACCAGCAGGATGCTTCTCTTTAAGGACAGGAGGAGCAAAACAGTGGCTTGATAGCTAGCCTCAAAAGCACGATTTTCAGGAGTGAAAACTAACACATCTTGACACTGGTGAAGGATATTCCATCAATATTTATGTAAAATTTACTATTAATGCTAGCAATATTGTGCAAATTCTTTTCAAGTCCTTTCAGGTTTAGAGAACCTTTAAAAAGATAACACTTCGTGTATCGTGTGCGTTGTTACACACCTGAAAGACAGGAAATGAAACTCATTTTATTAAGGTAGTATGTAGTGATTTGGAAGAGAATAACAATCATTTCTGCCCATGGATGTTAGATCTAAGGCTATACTAATTACCAAAATAGAAAAGCACTTTGAGAAAAGAAATGAGTGGAGTAAGTATACTTAGCAAAAAAAGATGCCTGTGTAGATCCAGAGATAATTTAAGTGAAAAAGAATGAGCCTTGCTAATTTAAAATATTCCCTCTCACATGAGAACATGATGGGTCAATCATTACTCCAGTGTTTGCTCCACAGGCAGAAATTTTTAATGAACTCCTGTAGCTAATAGGAATTCCTTAGAGTGTTTTGTGAATTGCTATTTCACAAAGTGGCTCTGGCAGCAAGCGTTTGACAAGAAGGATAAACATGGCTGCCTAGCACATCTGTTTATTTGAGTAAATCAGTCCTAGCTCAACTGGCATGTGTCCATAAGGCCAGATAATATCCTTCAGCAAAGTCTTCAGTAAGCAGAAGGATCAGGGATGACACAATTTTAATTGAAGAGAGTTGTATAGATAAGTTTGGAGTATTTTTAAAAATTGTTACAATATTGTACAATCCTGCCTGCCAGATTTGATATCTAGTTATCCTGCGCTAGTGTCATGCCCATGGCTGGGCCTTTCTCGGGTATTGTAATAAGCCTTTCTTCATGCCCATCCATTCCCAGTCCCTGTGTTCTTGGGTCAGTCCCTCTGTGGGCTTAGATGGGAGAATAGCTGCAGGATTGATCTGTAAGTAACTCTATCTACCAATATTTTTAAAGGCTCCCATGATAGCTAAGGGTGAACATCTTGTATCATCTCCGTGGATAGTAAAGGTCTTCTGGTTAGCATTCATATGTCAAGGATTCAACCCTCTGCACGAGGGTGAGGTCTCCGACGTGCCTAAAATGTTGGTGTCACTGCATCTGATCGCTTACAAGGCTTCTACGTTCCTGTACACAGTAACACCATCCAGTTGGGACTGTCACTTTTATATCTAAGAGGGTGAGATAATAATAACCTTTTGCCACTATAACTTTCAATCCATCTGCTTTTCTTCTTTGTCTATGACATAATTTTAGCATTACTTGACTGCATTTTATATTATGGATTGATAATGCAGAAGCCTTGAGCTGAATATCAATGCAAATAGAAACTAACTATCTTTAGAGGACTGCCAAAGAAGTGTTATTTAACAATTTACAGCTGACTGCAGAGGATGTTATGGAGCTACATAATAATAGCACCAACTATATCAATCGGTAATGCCAGATGGGAGTCTGAATGTGTTTTAGAGCTGACTGGACCTCTTACTTCAGTCTGTCTATAGGGTATTGAGAAATACTGAGGTTCTAAAATAAGTTTTAACATAGAAAAATAACTTCGGAAACTAGTGTACGTGGGTGTTTAACTGCGGATTTTTTGAGGGAATTCAGGAGGAAAAGGAGTGACACCAGTAATAACACAATCTTACAAATAACGTTCCAACCAGAATTCTTTAGAGTTACTACTAAAATGGCCCTCCCAGTGTCTGTGTGAAATACACAAACAAGCAGTTTCTACTGAGGATTCACAAGAGAAGGGACATTTCTTAAAACCAGAAACATTGCATGGAGAGTAAAATGGGTGCTCAAGTATTTGAGCCCAGATAATACGAAAGATGTGCAAGTTTCTTTGTCTGAAAGATGGAAAGACTGTGTTCAGGTGAAATTTGGGTGGTGTAAGAAGGAAACAGTATAGGGATGACAAATAAAACCCATAAAAAAAAAGAGGAGAAATTGGCTAGACAGATCATAGAGGGAGACACAATCCTGTGGGGCACATGAACTGGGACCAAGAATGTGTGAGGAACATGTATTTGGCTTCCTTTCATACAGGAAGGTACTGCATTTACTGGCTCTGGTATCTCAAACTCAGAATACAGTAAAAAGGACAGGGCAAAGGCCATTTTTTACAAGTGTCAAGAATTGTTGCTACATGTGATCTATTCTGAGGACAGTGACATGATAGCACTTGATTTAATATTTTTAAGAATGCTTTTAAATGTCTTGGAAATACAGAGAGGCCAGGTAATCTTCTAGGTTCCTTTGGAGCCAATTGTAAATGAAGAAAAGCTCAGCCTGGAATACATGTCAGTTAACAAAATATCCAAGAGAGAGGAAGCTGAGAAGAGGTGTGAAGCAGAGTTTTATTTTTCATCATAACTTATGATCTGGAAGAAAGAACAGTAGGTTAATTAAATTCATAGATTGGATTATATTACCAGTGACAAGGTGGACAGCAAAATAATATAATAGGACCTACAGAGACTCAAAATTCCTGAACAGAAAATGACACAATTCAGCTACGTTGGTAGACTAAACCAGATGCTGAATGAGAAAGTGTGCTGGGAAAACAGAAAACTCTGTGACAAGCATATAAGGTTACAAAACCTCAAAAATATAATGAGAAAACAAGAACACCTTCTGCCCTACCTCATGTTAATTTTGGGTTACATATTGTTAATTTATTGTAAATTCTAACTGCAGAAACTTGCCTAATACTCCCAAGGGTTATTGAGTAAAGGCTGTTCAAAAGTGAACAAAACACAGCATCATCTTTCTGAAGTCAGAAAGAATTTGTTTATGGCTTAAGAAAAGGAATAATATTTTTTCTGTATGTATATATTTATGTTAACATTATAAATGTAATACAAATTAGATGTCCTGAGCCTAGTGATATACGTTTTTTGTCAGCTAGTAATTAAAGTGCGTAGGTAAACAAAAGATCCTTCTAGAGGAACAATTTCCTTGTTGCTAAGATAACCTGATTTAGATGTGGTTAAACTAGAGGCAGAAGTGCTGCATGTCAAAAGAAAACAAAGGAGCAACTCTGCTCTAACATCTGTGCTGTACTGCCAGCATCCTCCTGGCTAGTACAAGTTGCACTGACTGTAGGTTCTGAGTTTACAACTTTTATGATGATTCTACTGACTGTTCTATACGATTTGCTGTGTATACAGTTTGCCACTCCATTGGCACAAGAGTAAGGATACAAATAATTTTTTGATTATTGAAGCGTATAATTTTCTCGACAGCACCTAGAAAGAAATCCACAGTTAAAAGGCCTTTTCAAAATTCATTTCCATGTAAATTTTAGTTTGGAAAAAAAAAGTCCTTATATAAATACTATTCTCTTGAGGTCACATTGTCTGAAGAACAATGGTGGTCATAAATAAGTGATCATGTGCTAGAAGAAGAAAATTCCACTTATTTTTATGTGAAAGAAAACCGAAAAGCTCATATTGGGAAATACTGTTTTTCAGTTGTAACGGTTTCAGATTACATGTTTCATCACAAATAAATAAAAACTGGGGAGGAAAGAAAAGGATAAGGTGATGGTAGCTTATGCCTACGTATTGCAATGTACTCCACATTGAGAAACTCGAAGAGCCTGCAAGGCATATGAAGATGATTCATATTAATGGACTGTTTTATTAAGGTGCAGTATGGTTGAAGGCCACAAAATAGCAGCATTCTGTCAGATACACAGTAGTTTATAGAAGTCTGATAATGCTGGAGGGCAGAGGATTTTAGCCAAGTTACATTTTATTTGACTGCAGTCACATTAGTGTCCGTACTAGGACGCGTTGTTTTCATAGACGTTGCTTTGCCAGAGAACACATTATGTTCTGTTTAACAGATATTGCCTTACTGATTTTTTTTGTTAACTACTTCTAGGTATGTTGTAATGGGATTCTGCACGACAATAAACCTGACTTCCAATGCTGCGAGGACAAGTACATTCCATTTATTCTTAATTCACCAGGGGTTTGCTGTGGTGGTCAGATACATGCTGTGCAGCCGGAACATCAATGCTGTGGTGGTTATTACACTAGGGTATTAACAGGTAAGAGACAACTCCTTTCCAGTGCTTGAAAGAAAGAAAACAACAAAGTTGACACATCCGTTAAACCAAGGAGAATGAAAATCTAGGAATAGATGTGGGATTTATCAAGATTTCTAGATGTCTTCAAGACTTGTGTTCAGTGGGATAAGCAAAGAAAATTGCACTGACTGTCTTCTAAACACAGTACATTGTTTATACAAGAAAGGCTTAATTGATGAAACCTGATGGTTGGGTCATTTCCCAGAGAACTAATTTATGCCAAACTATACTTAATTGCAGTAAGTGCTGCATAATGGGGAGGGCAGTTCTGCTTAATAGGAACAATATCAGGCAATTTAGTCGTGTGGTTTAGTTCTCTGCTTGACTTGACCCCATGTGATTTTCCCTAGCCATTTCTTTTGTGGAACAATTATTAGCATTGGGTTGATATTATGGATTATGTCAATTCTAGATGTTTATGCATTCTTTACTCTTTGTTTCTACCAACACTGCCACATACAAAGTAGGCATCCCACACGTATGATCTTTGATGGAAATTCATCCTTTTCTTACGGCTGATCATAGTTCTATTCTAAAAACTGTTTGGGAAGTTTGCCAAAACTGTGCTTCTGTGCTATTGTCCTGAGTTTGGTTTTCCAGTGTGTTGGTGGGCTTTTGACAGGGAGAGGGGAGGTAAACAGGGAGGAGAGCCCTTTCAGGGGGCAGTGTTCAGAGCATATATCTCTTTGTAGGCAATTGTCAGGTCAGGAGCTGAAATGCTTCCATTACTCATGAGCTGGCACACATTCCCAAGGCTCAGAAATGCTTGAATTTTTGCCAACACATTCAGCACATCCCAAGTTCTGATCCTTTGAAAAGTAATTAATATATCACAATATTAGAATGTCTTCCATGATGTCATCAGAAAAATGCTATCACATGGAAGAACCAGAGAAGAGTATTTTGCTGGCCTCATTAATCTCAGTGTACCGAAATGGAGAGATTATACTGTGACCTCTGTCCCCATCCAGTGGTCTGTGTTAACTAGCTTTGTGTTGTTTACATCAAGAAAGAAAATCACACTGAAACAAAATGTCTTATGTCTGAAATTAGTTCTTGTTCAGTCAGCAGTCCACAAGCATGGAACAGTGAATATTTGAACATGATTTTAAACATTTTTTTCTAAGTATACTTGCTGCATTCTTTTTTTTTTTTTTTTCCCATACTCTAAAGGGCAGCAACATGAACAATGTTGGTCACTTTTTTCTTTTTTATTTTTATAAATATGCTAATAACTTCAAGCTAAATGTTAATGTGGGTCATTCTTTGATAAGGATAACAATTAACTGGTAAGACTGCACGGTAGTTTTCAGAGAGAGGACATTTTAAACCCTAGCTTGGAATGGATCCCATTTTGAGAGGTTAATGAGAAGGTTACTGATCCTTTGTGTCTTATGTCTAATAGTTCTTTAAAAAAATCCAGTTTTATTTCCAATAGATGTAAGCTACATTCTGTGTTTTAATACTTTCTCTGTGTAGAAACTAAATTAGATTCTGAGGATTGCAGGAAAATATGATGAAGTATCTAAAGAGATTATATCTATTATACTCTAAAAAATTGTTCTCATATTTTTTGTTTATTATTTACTTTATTTGATAAAGTTATTTATACAGGAAACTATCTAAGCATACATATTTCCCAGATGATGTTTGGCCAGGTTGATAGCTCTAGATGTACTGAAGCCCACTAGGCTGAAGGCATGAAGATTACAAATTAGGAAGACAGGAATCTCAGTTTCTGAAACAAGTAGTGCACAAAGAAGTGCAGACATCCATCCCAGAACTAAGATGGGAGGAGAGATTCTTAAAGCAGAGCAAAACTAATGCTACTACCACCCAGGCACCTCTTTGACAAGAAATGTTGTGGGGAAGGAAAACAGTGCTCTCCCTCATCTTTTACAATTGCATCACATTTATTTCTGGCAAAAGCTGCATTAGATTTAGGGCGCAAATGTCTGTAATTCCCAATATTTCAGAAGAAAAAGACTTGAGATACTACTTTCAGTAAGAAAAATTAGTTTTAAAAATCAAAACATTTGTTTTATTAACAATCAGGAACCCAAATACTTTAATCACCTCTATTACCCATTTTAGGAACAAAACCTCTATTCCTTCCAAATGATGTTTGAGTCACAAAAAACATTGCAACACAGAAGGATAATACAAAAATGTAGCTTGTAGAACACTGGATCAGATCAAGTGCACACACTAGTGAAGGAAAATTATTGCCATTTACAGGTTTGTGCATGAAGCTACTAACGTGTGAACCTAGACTTGTTGCTATTAGATGAAAGCCTCTCAGGGATTTCATGAGCTATAAATGCACAAAATCTTTAATTGTATTTTTAAATTGACAGGAGAAGTATGTTGCCCTAATGAAGAGCAAAACAGAGTTTCAGTTGGAATTGGTGACTCTTGTTGCCAGGGAATGCCTTACTCTACATCGGGCAATCAAATCTGCTGTGGTGGATCTCTCCATGACAGTTTCAATCAGCAGTGCTGTGGTGGAGAAGTCATAAGCACAGACTGGGTCTGTTGTGGTGATGAAGAAGAAGGGACTGCACACAGACCTCTCACAGGTAAGCGAGAAGTTTTCCAGAAAAAAGGGTCTTCAGCTTCCTAAATCTCTTGTATCACTAACCATTCAGCAGTGGTGTGATTTTAATGTGTGTATGCCAATTTGTTAAAATGGTGTTGCACTTCACTCAGTTATTCTGATAGACTGCAAAAAGGAGAAAATTCCAAAGGAGTGCATGATCTTTCATTATGCCAGTCAAGAAATAGGACCAGTCCCATCTCAGTGAGTAGAACAGAGGTTAGACTTGGCCACTTTGTGATGCCAGGCATCCCAGTGCAGGGATTTTCCATTTGCTCTGGAAACGTGAGCTTAGTTACCTAAGAACTAAAGATTACGATGTTATCTGCTTGGTACTCTATGTCCCTCACCTGTGCACCTACACAGGGGTAAAACTGCTTAATCCCCAGCACCAGTCACTTGTTCATCTGGTGTACCCCATTAATCTCTTGCACACCATAGGAAATTACTCCATCACTCAGAGGTACAATCTCAACCCTACTTCCTTATAAAGCACCCTGTAACTAGCTGGTGACAGAGATTGGAGGTGTTATTACAAACCTTAATCAAGTATCTCCCTGTGTCTTTTCTTTCCACAGTTGTTAGACAAATTCTATACCCCCAGCCTTAGGCTTTCTCAGCCTGACAAAAGGACTTCAGAAACAATTGCAGTCTCAAAGGGGAGCCCAATTTCAAAACACAGAAATAATGAAGGTTTAGTACGCAATTCTGCTTGGTGTACAAAGATGAGTGAGGCAATGCTTTCACTTCATGCATGACAGTTTGAGCGTCTAGTTGTACTACTGAGGATCTGAATATATAAGTAAGGAACTAGATCTGAAGGCTGGACTCCTCCTTTCCCAAAAAATGAGCTCTATCTTCAGCTTATTTTTAGTATTCACTGATCCTTAAGCCACTGTGGTATTAGAAGTGCACAAGTTCTGTGTTGGCCATCAGGAAGGGCTAATCAGAAGAGATTGCAACGCTTTCTGTGGTTTCTATGCTACCCTTCCCTTCCAGTGGCGACTCATGGAGCATACGCTGCGAACAGCACAGCTTGCATGATTTTAGCTCCCCCTCACTGTGATCCCTAATTGTGCCTGATTTCCAGCATCTATGCAGGGCTCACAATATCAGCTCTGAACAAGGCCCTCTTGCATAACCGTGCATTGTGTGGCTGCCACAAGACGAGGCTGGCTCATAAAACATCTCTTTATGTACTTTATTACTTAAACTCTTTTATTTGCCTGCAGGAGCCCTTTAACAAAATCACATTGAATTGACTTTCTCACACCAAATCAAATCTCCCTGGTCCCAGTTCAGTTGTCTTTGTCAATATGTATTTTATAAATGGAGTGAATTAACAGATGCTGTTGGAACAGAACTGCTGGGGTAGCGTTTATGTTTTTACTGCTCTCTCTGGGCAGATGAGTTGTGTAGGAGTGTAATACAGGTATCTTGGGATGAAAGTTATGTTCTTCATCTCAGTAGATATGTATTCTTAACAGGTTTTTTTTTTTTTTCCTTAAATAGATCTATTTAAAAAACCTTTATACCCTTCTTTTAAAAATGTGTTTAGCCTATAGCGCTCTATCATTTATACCATTTTTCTTAAGAATGGGTCAGGATGACATTTTTTTGGCTATTAAAAAAGAAAACAGTGGCTTTTTCATCGTTCATATGTTTTCTGTGAGGACTTTGTGCTGTGAGCCAGCATACAGCTGAACATAAACACAGGTTCGAGAGAGGAATTAGTGCCATAGCTGAAAAGAGATTGTGTTCTCTTGCATTAAGCATTGAATAGATTCTGGTTTCTTATCATATCATATACATCATGCTCAATAGTTTTTTTCTTAATTTCTTAGAGTAATTCAGCTTTGCTAAATATATTGTGAAAATGCACAAACCAGGCACAAAAATGTACCTGCTCCCTATCCCTATTATTATAATGATTCTAATGGAAAAAATACTCTCACATAAAACCATAATTTACTTATCACTGGCAAATGAATAAGTAGAATTTTGCAAGAATACAGTAATTGGAAAGCTGATCTCATTGTCTAGAAGGGGAAGAGGTAACGGGGTGGCTTTCTGCAAAAGCTGAAATTCTGAACCTCTGTCTTGTAGTTGGAAGTGAATGCCATAGCTAAAAATATAATGAGAATTTGAAGCTTTGGTTTGGGAGTTTTACTTCTTTGTAAAAAATCATACAAGAAAAACATGATCACTAGAAGTGCACGCCTTGTGCACAACCTAATTGTTGCACGACCAGCCTGAAAGCAGCGTGTTTCTGCAGAATCTAGACCCAGGCTTGCACTGAACATTGGTTTAAGGGCTTGAACCCTAAAACATTTCAATTTGCATTGTGCAGCTTTTTCAGAGAGTCTGTCCTGCAAAAAGAGGTGTTTTGTCCATGTCGCGTTTCATTTTGTTTTTCTCTTTAATTGCTATTTTCTTAGGTTTTATTTTCGCCCCTTGTTGGCCCTCTGTAGTGGGGTGACCATAGGGACATCTACTGGCAAAGGCCGGCAGCGGTGCCACTGCCTTACAGACCCTGAGCCCCACCGCTGCTGCCTGATTACCCAATGTTGCCTATTTCTCGCTAAAAAAGGATAATGCCAGATAAAAGCACTCTTCGATTTCCGCTTTAAAAACAAACAAACAAACAAACCCCAAAAAACCCAGCACACAACAACAGCCAAAAAACCCCTGGTAAAAAGTCATTGTACTGACACGCAGACTCATGAAAGATGATGTTTTGTACTGTTGTGGTTCCTGGTCTGTAATAGTTGCAATACCCATGTGTAAGCCAAGGGGTTTTGGAGTAGTGTGCAATGTACACTGGCTCTGTATATTGTTGATCCTCTCTTCTGGCTCCAAAGGCTAAGCCTTTTAATACTCATTTTTCCCCTTTGAAAGCATCGGTTTTGCAGATTTACTAAATTAGTAATTCATCACTCAGTTATGTTTGTAAATTTTTTCAGTTGCTGGGGATGAACATGAAATAATTGTTGACAGAAATCACTGTTAGCAGGAAGTGTCTTTTCCAGCCCACAGATTTTCTTTTTACTGGGATGCATTATGTGCCTATGAAACATAAATATATATAGTATGACACACACATTCCAGCTGATTTACAAACAAATAGTTTGTATTTTGGTATTTTGCTGAATTCAGCAAGGGCTTATAGGAACTTCTGGATCCTTAGCAATTGAATAAAGTGATTTTAGAAGGCAAATCAATCCATCAATATTACATGGTCCTATTTTGTTTTTCTTGGAGCATATTTAAAATTGTACATTTGAGGTGTCAAGGTTCAGGAGTCAAGTGCTACATGTGATAAATTAAGCAAAGGTCAGAGGCTATGCAATGCAGTTTCAGAAGATTGTCTACCTCTGCCTTTGCGGCTCATTCATGCTGAAGTGATGCACTATGGGAATTACTACCAAACTCTGCTCTGCAACATCTGCTCTCCCTAAGTGAGTTAGTGCACGTCAGACATCTTTATGTCAGAATATTGCAGTGATGGATGCAGTCTTCAGAAAATGCTGCATAAAAATCTGGTGTGCCGTTCTGGCCATTAAGTGAAATTACTATTTAAATTAATGGCGCTGTCACAGTTTATCTGTGCAAAGAATGAACGCTGATTAGGGTATTAAGTAATTAGCAATTTATCACACTGGAACAAGGTTGATAATAATTAAAGAAGTAATGGTTTACCAAAGAAACTAGAAAGGGAGTCACTTCTTGTTATGTGAGTGAAATCTTGGCTGAAAAATTCAATTCAGTTAAACAAAGATGAGGTTCACAGTGAAAGAATACAGCCTTGTTTGTTTCAATAGAGAAACAGTTCATTATCAAAATTTTACTTTGCCTGTCAGAAGTCCCTTGGGGCTGCCTGAGTTGCTTATTAGTACTGAATTGAGTCATTTTCTGTGTTAATTCTCTACTTTAAATTGGTAGAATCGTAGGAAAATTTGGAAAAAGGGTGTCAACAGGAGCGAAGATTTACCTCTTGGAGAGCTGGCGATCACAGTTTGATTGCTGTGAATGGAACCAGCCCTGAAAAAAGATAAAGTATGCAAGTAACATCACCATTTGTAGTCATTCCATTGACTGAAATTAAATGCTCTGAATGCTTTAGCAGGATCATACCCTTAAAAAGTAATTTTCATTATGTATGACTTCCTAAGAGAGGTTTGCTGCAATAAATGGCAGTGAGAAAAGTAGCCACTTCGGCATGTGTTTTAAATGCCTACATACCACAAAAATTATGTCAAATATGAACTACTTTGTAAATGTAACAGTACATCACTACCTTGGTTTTTTTGTGTGATATCTTTCTAGTTGAATTAGTATTAACATTTATTTCATTGCCAATTATAGAGGTGCTTGTAGCATTTAGTTCAGAGTTAAAATTTAGCCCTTTCTTTATACGGCGTGGGGTTCAACACTGGTATTTCACAATTGCAGAATAATTCAGATGAATAGGTGGACAATTACACTGGTTATGAAGGGGTTTTCAGTTTAAAATAAAATTAATAAAAATAGAAGAAAGACAATGGAATTAATTTTAGCAGCTTATCAGTTGCAGTATAGAAATGCAAATTATATTTAGATATTAACTTCTTAAAGAGTAATTGTCTGTATTAGATAACTGAAGCTTAACTTTTAGGTATTTGGCAAATCACCCATTTAGTTCTACGTACCTAATAGGAAGCCCCACTTTCAAACATAAATACAATGTGAAACATTCAGAATGTTAAGATGCACTACTGGAATACTGCCCACGTGAGAGGGGATGAATGAGACCTGACTGGAACGTACATGGAGAAACTTTCTCAATTTCTACACTCCACAGGAAATTTTCATCAACAGTCAGTCTTTGACCTGCTCTGCACAGTACCTTGGTACGGTATTTCATAGCAAAGGTTCTTACAACAGTTCAGCAATGGTGTAAATGGTTTGTAGGGGATCCCTGATTATTTCTCTAATTCTTGATTTTTTCCAGTAGGTCTGGAAGTCCGGATGCTTGCTTCAGTCACCTCACGTTCGAATTTAATCTCACTTTAGCTAAATCTGCATAATTCCAGCTGCTGATGGTTTTATGCCAAGCCATATTGCATTCTGAGCTTTCTCCTTTCTTATCTATTTATTTATTTACTTACATTTCATATTCAGATACATTATTTTGTTTGTTCATTTCAGGGATGTTCTGTTGTGGGCAGGAATACGTGAATAAGTCAGATACCATATGCTGCTCAGGTTCCAGTGGCGAGTCCCTCGCGCATGTTAGAAAGAATGACCAAGTGCCAGTAAAATGCTGTGATACTGAACTTATTCCAAAGAGTGAAGAATGCTGTAATGGAGTTGGATATAATCCTTTGAAATATGTTTGCTCTGACAAGATTTCAGCTGGAATGATGATGAAGGTAATTGATAGAAAATCTCTCAGTGGCTCTGATTTGATGATGGAAAGAGAAATACACTGTTCATAACTATTTTTCTAAAATAGGAATATAAAAACTCTTCTGTGCATTATTCATTTTCACATTACATCCATATTAATACCGAATGAGTTCACTATGATTGATGTTATTGCAATGAATTCTAAAGGAATTAATAATGATTAGCTGCCTCTGTGAAGTGTTGCCCAGCACTTCAGATTAGTACAGTGGCTAAAAGCTGGCATACTAACAAGACTGACATGTATAGCCCGTTTCCATTCTGTGACCACTGTTCCTGTTGATGTTCCTTAAGTGGAAATTAAAATTGAAGTAGCCAGTTCTGAAGTATAAAAATGTTATTACATTTCAATTTGGGCAGGCAGTATGACATAGATTCCCAACCTCCTAAAAAATATAAATAGAAATATAGCAATTGATAATTACCTGATGAATTTAATCCTGATCCTAGAGAAAACCAGTGGCAATTTTGGCATAAATTGCAGTACTGCTAGAGTACATCCCTGTATAACTTTTAGGAACAATGTGGGTATTATATAATGCCTTGTGCACTGAATGAATTGCATAGTTTATTTTCACTCTGTTTTAATGTTTGAGTAAACCATGCACTATAAATGCTAATTCCATCTTTTCTAAGAGTGGCCAGCGACTTTAGGTATCAGCATGAGACAATTTGGCTAAACTTTCAAAGCTGCAAATTCTTGCAACTCCAGTTGAATTCAATGGAAATCTTCAAGAATTAGCATCTTGGTGTCATATGTAAGATGTAAAAATATTGTCAACTGTTATTACAATTTTTGTTTAAGAAAACTAGTATTTTAAAGGAGGAAACCTCTGTAAAAATATGTGTACTCTTTTATATAGATTTATATTAAGAGAAAGAGGGAGAAAATGGATGAGAGACAAAGAAAGAGGGTTGGATACTGTGAATTCTACAATATGGAAATCAAGTAGATATTGTGAAATTTGTCATTAAAGTAAAAAGAAAAACAGACCCCATCCTGCCACATACAGGTGTTCCTGTATCCCTTTCATTCATCTGCTAAGTTAATAAAGAAACATTTCTTCCATCTTCTCCTTTTCATGTCATTTCATTTTCAGACTGAATAATTTTCTCCCAGAGAAAATCCACATGTTTTGATGAGTCAGCTAGATTTCCTCAATGCATTGTATTAGTAGTTCATGCAAGGCAAAAAATGGCTGAGAATAGGTTCATGAATTCTGGTAGATAACATGCTAGATCCATGCCTTGGGTATAATGTATAAACAAAGGAAACACTTTGTATTTCACTTACCCACAGCAGAAAGAGATACCAGTGCTAGCTTTTTGATATGTATAGATTTACCAGCATTAAAAGGACTGATATTCTGAGACATATTCTGGAGCTACTTTATATGTGAATCCAATCCATCTATACCCTACATCCTATATTGATATTTATTACAATGTAATTTTTGTGAATGTGCCAAGTTTGGAAAATTAAATTAGCTGAAGTTCATAATCAGCTAACAAACTAATTTCAGTAGATGAATTAATGAAGCATTAGATAGGATCTGTTTGTTTTTCTTTCTCAAGTTTGTGGCCTAATGGGCAGAAATATTTGTAGCAACTATTGTGGTACATCACTTACTGCAACAACCTATATTTTATGAGAAGTATTGCTCTAGCTTATGGTTTGGCAAAAATATTCTTTAATGAATTTTAATGGAAAGTTGTGGAGGTTCAGTGTATATTTCTGTTTCTGTGAATTGTTCTTCATGTGTTAAATCTTATATCTGCATTAAGATTTGCAGAGGTTCTCTTATTGCTGCCAAACTGCTGTTTAGGAATGATGTGGTAGAGGGCACAATTTATAGAGCCCATGGTTAGAGTTCTCAGCCTTGAAAGCTGCCAAGGAATTGCAGAGAGCCCTCTTGGGTAGTTGGCAAGCTGCGTGAGGGACTGGGAACTTGCTACTGATTTGCTACGGGATATTGGCCTTTGCAGGAGCAGAATGGTCAAATTCTCAGATAAAATCCTGTTCTTATTTGATTCTGGATAGTTCTACTTTCAACAAACCCAGTCATTTGGGCTTCCAGTGTTAAGCATTTGTGATGTTTTCATCCAAGTACCCTACAAAAAAAAAAAAAAAAAAAATCTGTTTCTTTTAGAAAGGATTATAAAAGCGTTCATGATCAAAGACAGTAGATTGGCCAAAGGCTGATTGGGTCTCCCATATGCTAGAAATATCAGCATACTCAGTGTGGCTGACTGATTTGTATGTTGCATAAAGACAGAGAAATACTAATGGAAACATTTGTAAAGAAGGAAAGATGCGATAAATATCTTAAAATTGAATGTGTGTTCCTTAGGTAAAAGAAGAGTGCAAGGCTAATATCCTTTGTCCTTTATCTATGGAGGCAACAGCACACTGTGGAAAGTGTGACTTTGATCCTAGGGAGAATATCTGTGCGTGGATAAAAGCTTCACAGAGTGCTACAGAAAAGGAGATAAAAGACGGTGTGTGTCCAGCTGAAGAGGAGACTGTCTACACAGGAAGTCCAACCCAGTATTCATTTACAGGTAAGGAAAAGTGGCATATCAGACTGATGATTTCCTAGTGTATTTAATTTGCTCTGGAAAAAAAAAAAAAAAAGTCCTGAATTCTATCAGGTATTCTAATTAAATATGAAGCAATTGTGATGAAGTAGCATTCTTTAACAAGTAATCTGTGAATTGGGTCAGAATCTTCCGGGAAATGAAATGAGTAGCAAAAAGTTCAGTGAACACATAAAGTCAAATCCTACTTTCACAGAAGTTGGTAGAAGTATTGCTGTATCAGAAAATGGCCCTGACTAAAGGAACAACTTCCATATCTATCTGTCTTGAAACACAGAAGTAGTCCCATAGGCACAGGAAAATATAAACAAAAGCTATTTTGTATTTTGATAAGACTGCGATGATCCATATGTAACTTTCTTTTTCTAGACGTGAACCTCAAACCTTTTATCACGTATGAGTACAGGGTGGCTGCTTGGAATAGCTATGGAAGAGGCTTCAGTGAAATTAGCAGAGCTGTCACTAAGCAAGATGTGCCACAGGGTGTAAGCCCACCAAAATGGGCCAAAGTGGATAATCGGGAAGACATGATACTTCTAAACTGGGAGGAACCACTTCAACCAAATGGTATTGATATATGTGAAAACAAGACATATGTTCTAGCATTCAGCTGGCAGTGTTCCAAAATCACAGAAGCTTAATTAATCACTGACACTGAAATATATGTATTCCTAAACTCTGCAGGAAGAATTTGCTCCAGGTTAAGATCAATTTAATTGCAAGTAAGAGTAGAGTATAACTTCACAGAAGACACTTTACCATGTCTCTCAGAAGTGCCCAGAAACCTCTTTTGAGAACAGTTGTAATAATAAGTGTCAAATATGATTAGAAAATCATGATCATGTTACAAGATATTTGGGGATTTGGGGGTTGTGATATTCATGTTTCTTTCAGGAAATCTGGCTTATGATTTTCAAACAGTGAGAAAACTTGGAAGAGATCTCAGTACAAATGGATATCTACTGAGATGTTGATATAGAGGTTGAGGAAAGTAGCAGGTAATTGACATTAACCATTTAAGCAAGATGATTATCTGTTACAGAGATTTCATTTAATATTTTCTGTGTGCAGAGTAGGTTATTATAGCATACATTCACACAGGATTTGTCAACTAACAAAAAGGAAAACTTTCCTTCTGCAATAGGTCTTATTATTCACTATATCATTCTCCGAAATGGAATCGAGCATTTCAGAGGAACAGAAACAGGCTTCACCGACACAAGTGGTGTCCAGCCGTACCAGGAATATTCATACCAGCTGCGAGCCTGCACTGTTGCTGGTTGCACAGACAGCAGCAAGGTTAGTGAATTGGTCTTTATGGAACAGGTGCCAGAATTTTATCAGCCAGTGTGGCAACATAAAAATGCTTCTGGAAAGGTGTAATTTGAAGACATGCTGATTATTGAGTAAGTGAAAAAAATCAATAATCTTATTTGGATTCAACTACTGACAGGTGATTATTTGGAACCTAAGGTTGATACAAGCAAGGGGAAGAAGAAAGCAGTATCTAAGTCTTGGCAAAGCTGAAATTGCACTGTAGGAACTGATGTTTGTTAAAGAGAAAGCTGCACATGATAGAATAGAGTAAGGAATATTAAAACGCACTTTCTCTAAGCCTTGAAATTAAATCTTTGCTTCTCACTAGGAGGTCTGTAGCTCATTCTTCCTTGGTCTTTCTTAGCTTGCCTGTTTTATCTCTAGTCTATGAATTTGTTCAACAGCCTTCTTATTCTGAGCCTCCTTCCACTATATTACCCTTCACTGGCTTTCCATGTCTGCACCTGCTTCACGCTTTACACTCCATTTGTGTACAACCTGCTTCTGCTTCAGTTTTAAGCAAACAAAATCTCTTCCCTCCCTTTGTTACTGCTTCATTTCCTTTTGTATCACTTTGAATCGTGGATGCCTTTCACCAATATTACTATTTAACCAGGTCTTGTTTCTATTCTGCAAAGTACCTGCCTTATTCATTATTTGGAAAAACTTTTTCTTAAACAACCTCTTATTCACAATAATATCCTTTCCTCTATGGAAATAAATGTCTAGGACTGCAAGCGTAAGGTCTGTTGGGCAGAGGTGTGGAATAATGGCTGTGGTTTGTAATTGTGATATCTATGGGATAAAAATGTTGATTTTTATTTTTTTCAGGTGCTTACCTGTTTTTCTTACTAGTGCAAATCTTAGCCAAAAGTAAAAGAAAAGACACACTGTTGCAGAGGGATGGAGATAGGCGTATAGTCCTCTACCTGAATGCAGAGCTGTGCTCTGGAAACTATGTAGGCACAGTTTCCGCAGCCACCGGCCTGAGCTAATAAATCCTGCTTATTTCACTTTCCTGTAATTAAGGAGTTTACTGTTGCAAACACTGAAGTCTGCAAGTAGGGACTGATTCCACCAAATGCACTAAGACGATATATTATAGATGGCACATTTTATATTTACAGCATAATATAAATACTTTATGGTGGTAATAACAGAAAAAGAAAGTGATTCTCAGAGAGAAAAAGGTGTGACTCACTTATTAAGCCAGTGCAATCTGGAAATGCCTTTGTAAGAGATGGTAGAGATGTGTCAATAGAAAATTAGTGCTTTTTTTTTTATTTATTTTTTTGTAGAAAGCGCTTAACAAGTGCAAAGTTATTCTGTCTTTCAATATCTTTGGTTTCCTGACTAAAATATGGAGTTGCAAATAACTACAATAGAGTTCAGGTAGTATGGGATATATGGAGGCTTAGCCCCATGTTTACTGGTACTTAAAATATATTAAATCAGGCAGTTAAAATGCAGAGACACTAACAAACCATATGGAAGAGAGTTACTAAGAGTTTTCAAGCAATGCACTTTTTTGTTGTTTCACCCTGTGCTATGCAGTGCAGCTAAAACGTGGTGAACCTGTTGTGATAAATTGTAGACATAGACTTATGTAATGTATTCAAGGTCAGATTTCATTGTGAAAAAGGAGGAAAAAAGTAACTAGTTCTCCAGGCCCTTGGTAATGATATGCCAGCCCAAACAACATTTTAAAACAAAAGTGACATTCTCATTGATCATGGTATCTAGTGTACTATTAGATTAAATTGCTGTTTAATTCATATGTCTTCAGGTAGTTGCAGTCACTGTCCAAGGAGTCCCAGAGAGCGTTCAGCCACCAGACGTCAGTGCCTTGAACTCAACAGCGTTACATTTAAGCTGGATGGCACCCAAGAAACCAAATGGTATCATCAGAAGGACTTGTCTACACTGATGCTGCATACAGAATGCAACACACAGTATCAGGTAAGGAGGCAGAGCTCTCTGATGGGCTAATGTTCTGTCCTTAAGACATAGGACAGTACTAACATATTAAAATGCTGCTTGTCAGAAACTTTTAAATCCCCAGTACTGTGCACAGTTTGGAATGCTTTATCATCACTTTACATATCTTAAATTTATTCTTTTTCAATCTCTTTCCTTTCTGGCTGCTGTTTGTTAAAATATTAATAGATTTAATTTCCAAATTTTAAAACAAATCTATCCAGCTCAATTCAAGGTGCATGATTTATGGTGTGTTTGAGGTCTCAAGTATTCTGTGTAGGTTTGCTGTCCCTTCATATGGATTCAACTCTCTGTTTTACTGTCATTAATGTTCAGTAACACAGTTCACAGATTCACAGAGTAGTAGGGGTTGGAAGGGACCTCTAGAGATCACCTAGTCCAACCCCCCTGCCAGTGCAGGATCACCTAGAGCAGATCACACAGGAACAAGTCCATGTGGCTTTTGAAAGTCTCTGGAGGAGGAGATTCCAGCACCTCTCTGGGCAGCCTGTTTCAGTGTTCCGTCACCCTCACAGTGAAGAAGGGTTTCCTCATGTTCAGGTTGAACCTTCTGTTTTCCAGTTTATGGCCATTGCCCCTCGTCTTGTCACTGGACACCACTGAGAAGAGCCTGGCCCCATCTTCTTGACACATGCCCTTTAGATATTGATAAGCATTGATAGTTGAAGTCACTATTGCTGCTGTGCATGTGTAGCAGCGTAGGAGCAAGAAGAATCCAATATTTTATGCCTGAGATAATAAAAAGGAAAGGAAGACAGAAATGGAAAGATCCTGGATTCTGTTTATAATCTTAAAAGTTTTATATAGCCATTTTTTAAATAACTGGTGAAATTTTACTAGTGTGTGTGTATTTGAAAGAAGCTTTAGTTAGGGGATTTTGGGGGAAGGTTTGGCTCAGACCTCAAATGTGCTATTTTCACATATTCAATTTTTAGTTATATGTGAATGTTACACTGAAGCAAAATTGTTCTTCAAAATGTTTCTTTTGAACACAAAATGGAAACATAAGCATTCTAGGATGTATTTTTTCACTCTTTGACTCAGGATTCTCATCATGTTCTTGTATCTATGATTTTCAGGAATTCATAGATGCATTATTTTTTCAAATTTTTTTCACCTGAGTAGGTAACTAGAGATTCATATGTTATACACAACATATGATAGCCACTCAAAGAGCAGGAGTTGATTTAGAACACATGCGACCTGTACAGCACATACGGCACTCTCAACCTCCACTGAGTCAGAGTGGATCCTTTAGTGCTTTAAAAAAGTTCTTACTTGCTGTAGTCACTCACAAAGGAGTAGAGGATTGCTATTCCTCTTTGACGATATCATGCTCAAGTGTGGAATTCATCAACTGTATATGACGCCTGTCTCCATATTCAGTGCTTCTGGGCATGAGATATTAAAGTATGGCAGCTGATGATACGTGTTTCATAATTTCTGTTGTAAGTTTGTACTGTAAAGAACACCTACCAATAAGGAATGATTTATCAAACCCATTAAAAATACTTCTCCTGCTCTCACTTCCTTCCCAAAAGGCAGTTATGCCTGCAGAGTAAGAGATTTTACTGCAAACAACACTGGTTTTCTTACCAATTGGAAGGGAGAGGAAATGAAATTACCTCCTGAGAAACAAGGATCTCTTATCCTTTTGTGTGCCTGTTCCATTAAGCCACTGTCCAATGCTGCCATGATAAGCCAGGAGTGAAATAAGTGATCATTCCTCCTGACAGTCATAATCAAATCTTGTGCTGTTTTCTGCAGGAGCTTCCTTGGGTAATAATGTGGAGTTCATGGCAGTGATATTGCAATGATGTGGATAATTATTGCTCTCTAAATTAGAAGAATAAGATAAAACAGATTTATTTTACACAAAATCTCAAATGTTTAAACTGTTGTCTTATTCCTTGTGGTATGTGTTTTCATTTTGCCATCTTCCTGTTATTTTTTTTTTTCTTTCCCAAAACTGTCCACTTTTCCCTGAGCAACAGTTGAACATTAATAAAGCTGTAGCATTAGTATTTCTTGAGACTTTGAATCTAGGGTCTTGCAAATAACAGACGAGAAGGCTAGCACCTTGGCACTGCACCATTGTCTTGCTGCTTATTTTTAATTACATCAAAGCTTTGGAAACATGATCCCACAAATGCTTTGTGGGAATAGCGGTGAATGTGCTCATCATGTGAAATCCATAAATTGCTTATAATCCTCTCAAGATGTTAAAAAAAGCATTAAGTAATTGAAGACAGGAAGTCCTCAGTTAATTATTTAGAGGTGTTATCAATGCTTTAAGCAAACTGAAGCATTTTCTGCTATCTCACTGAGTTGAATGCCACTGGGACCTAGGGGCAGCAGCCATCATCTTCTCATATTCTCTAATGCAAACAGCACATGGCAGCTTGTCAATAAAAGACCTTTTTATATCATTTATTACTGAACACTTCCACTACCCTGTACAGAACAATTTGGATGACAGTTATGGCATTGTTTCACTTTGTGTTACTACTACTTTACAAATGGGCCTGCTAATGCTTTGCAGTGGGGGCCAGGCAGAGGGTAAGACCAAAGAAAATAATTGGGGGAATTGTAAAAGAAAGCTAAGAGTGCCCTCTTCAGCAGCAGCAGGTGGGTTTATAGCAAAGATTATTCTCAACCCTCTCTTTCTAATACACTAAAGATAATATCCCAAGTAAGAGATTTTATCAAGAATTCATAGGATCAATCATCTTTAGATAAAAGCCAAGAAAGATCATAGATGTTTATTTTAGTAATAGAAAAAAATTAAGAAATACTTCATAACTTAGTTGTTTGAAATTCTTTCATCTGAACATATTCTCCATTTCAGGGGAGTGAAAACTGAAGATATAGAAATGTTGTCACTGGTCAACTCCATCTCCATGCAGCACTGAATCATTAGTAATACTTATCCAAAGGAAGCTCTTGGGGGTGGAAGGGTTGTGTGAGGCTGTGGTCAGCAATCTGACATCCTCCTGAGTAAAATTCCCACAGCAGGGCCCAGGAGCATTATCCTGGGAGCTAATTACTGACCTTGCTGGTGCCATACCCACAAATGGAAACAAACAGTATCAGAAGGAATTGATTTGACTAATAGAACAATGCATTCTTAAAAAAAAAAAAAAAAAAAAAAATTCTTCACAGTCTTTTGGCAAATGACAAATTCTGCAATAACAAAATAGACTGCTAAGTTAAAAAAAAAAAAAGAATTAAAAAGCCCCACAATAATAGACCAAAAAAGAAAAGCAGTATCCTCTAGTGAACAATCAAGTAGAGAAATTGGAAAAGCAAAATGTTGTTTATGTTTCAAGATTATCTTACTTGTTATTTTTATTATTAATCACCTACATAGATTTTCACAAAGCTTTGCAATGCATGCATAACACAAGACGTTTATGCAAAGCTTTAATAATCTAGATAAAAATCTGCTGTGGCTGCTCCATGTACAACTAGAGTTTTCAGGTATCAGAATATCACCAATAAATATCGTGAAACCATGTGCTCCGTTTTTAATGCTCATTTTTCTCTTTAAAGTGTAGTTGTAAATGAGTATTGCTTTATTATGCATGTTTCCTTTAAAAGTGAACACGACTCCCTTTAGGGGAATTCAAGTAATTTGTTGCCACAGTAATCTTTTCTATCCTGAAATGTTAAATACTTGGCTTTCCTCCATGCCTTTGCCTCTCTCTAGTCTGTAACTGTCATTTTCTCCCTTCTTACTTTTATACTCAGTGTTCAGATGATTTTTCTTCTCTTCCAGTTCATGATTAGGTTACAGCCAGGGCTGTCCCTCTGAGTCATCTCTTTATTTTCTCTCCTTCACATCTTCTTCAATTTGTAAGCTGTCTGCATGTCTTCCATTCTGTATTTTACCTTTCTACATAGTTGTTGCTTGTTCTTTCTCTCTATTTCTTTGTAATCTATTTTAAGTAAAATATCGTTGTACTGGCTATAAGCAAGGGTTTGTTTATAAACAAAGATCTTACCCAGACTTTTGTTCTTCTCACAGAATTGCATTTTTCCTGAATCATTTACAATTAGGCACACGAGCTACATCAAAAGCACGTTATTAAGGTCACAAAGCCACGCACTTAAAAATTGACCTGTACAATATGTATGAATTGACTTGTACAATATGTACGAATTGACCTGTACAATCCTAATTCAGCCTCTTTCACACAAGCAGTCTGCATTACACTGTAGTCATTTGTACGTACGGTTGCTGCCTCATGCAGCCCACAAGCTGTGACTCTTCCGGGGAGAAATAAAATGGAAAAAAAACCCAAAAGCACAACCTCCTGGATGTAGGATTGCTGTCTCAGCTTTTGCTGTGTTTGGTGCATTTATTCCTTCTGGGAATATCAGTGTAGATAGGCCTAATTCTGCGTCTGCCCAGAGCTAAATTTCCTCTGTTCGCACCAGTCAAGGAGGCGCAAGCCCAAATTTCAGATGAATGGGGAGCTCAGCGAAGGAGGCAACAGGGATGGTGCCAACTAGGAGGGATAACATCCAGATCACTGAGGGTCTGGCAGCATTGGCAGCCAAAAGGAAGAAGGGTGAAGGGGCAGTGTCCTGGGAGGATGGCCAAGTGGCAGCACACAGGGCGGCCTTGCTACCACGCTCCCGCTGTCAACCACCCCTGCCGCCTTCCCCAGCCCTGCCTGTGGTCCAGGACCCTATTTCAGCCCAGCCTGCTGCCCTCCATCCCTGCTTGCAGCCATGCTGGCCCCCGGCTCTGACACAGCCCTGCCCTGCCCAAGCATGGGCCCTGGCTGGTGGGGACGGCCTACACACCCATGTCCCAGGCCATCCCCAGGGAAGTGCCTGGACTGGGACAGGGGCTGCCCTTGCCCTGCCCTGCTCCCCAGCTGGGGTAGTGGGAATGGTCCTGGCAGGTCTCATGAATCCTGTGGGATGCTGGATTAGAAATCTTTAGTGAAGGAAGAATGGGACGGCACTCTGGAGCGACCGTCTCTGGATGGAGGCAGTTGGCTTCTCTTGCCCAGGTCATTCCTGCCTGTTCAGGCTTCGGTACTGAGAAAGGCACATCTCAAGCTTTCATACCTCTTCACAACCATGTTGTCTTCATTTTCCGGATACCCTGTCTGATACCTGGGCCTGAATTTCATGAGTGCTCTCTTGGAGCTGCAGCTGAAGGCACTGGTTGTGGTCGGATATATAAAGATTGGCATAACAACAGGTACTCTGACAGCTAGGTGCCAGGCATCCCAAATGGCCTCTGGGCAAGACCAGGGAAGTTTTTGTTTCTCTCAGTCTCTTTGAGCCAGCATCTTGTGGGGTTTTTCTGGTGTGTTTTTGCTTGTTTGTTTGTTTTGGTTTGGTTTGGTTTTTTGTTATTCTTTTAGTACTGTATTAAACCATTTGCAATGCCTATCTGGTTGGTGTTAGTAAAGCAACTGGATGCTCTACGGGTGGACACTACAAATAAAGTCTCAAATCCCATACGGTTAGGCAGGCTAGAGACCTCATGTTGGAGGGAATTTTAGATAGGACTGTGTCACAGAGCCTGTATGTAAAGGGGGTCAATTCATATCATACAATGTCCTAATGCTGGTATGCCGTAGCTTATGAGTGTTCAGTTTTACAATCTTAATATTTTCATAGAGTTTTTGTGTATAATTTTCTGCTTTTTGTTGTACTACTTGTTCCCTTTACATTCAGGAAGAGGAACTTTTTTTTAGTGTATTATGAGATGTTAAAAAGAGGGTCCTTGAAAACATATAAGAGAGAGGTTTTCAGTGTCTGTGCCGGAATATAATTTTTAAGGTCAACTTTGAGAGATACCTAAAAGGATAATTTTTACAAAGACAATGTAACCTGGGCTGGAGCATGCACTGTGAGATAGTCTGATCAGCTGTTAAAGCTGAGCTCTGGGATGTTCAAGGTAGGCTCGCAGAAGTCTGCGAGCTGATAAGTCTGATAAGTAACTCTATAAGAGGCCTGTAATTGGTGTGCAGAAATGGTCAGTTTAAAAGCTTAGCATCTTAGCCAAATTTTGGCTACAACTTTACAAGGAGTCCTAAAGTCAGACTCTTAAGCTGAAGGCAACTTGATGTCAAATCTGAAGTCATTGATGCACAGCAGAAGGATGTTTGAAAATTTCCAAAGAAATATATTCTCATTAAAGGCTGCCCAGCATACAAGGTTTGCATTAAAAAAAAGTGTTTTTAAAAAAATACAAGTAACTAAAATGAATATCTTCTAATTGGGAGGGCTTGGTTGTCAGTCCTGCTTCTAACAGCTTTATAGCATTTATAGTACAGTCTTTGAACAAATAGGAAAAAAAGGGGGAAAATTGAACAAATAAACTTGGGAAGGGGAAAAGAACAGAGTATCTTTGGACTTGTTTGCAGTATAGTAGAAGATTTCATGTCAAGTAAGAGAGCATTTTATTATCTTATTGTTGAAAATGTATTTGCAATAAATTTTAAAAATATTAAAAACTTTTCAGGTTTTCAAGTCCAAAACTCTAAGGAATTATACCTTGAGGTGCTTATCTGTTGGAAACCTTTGAACTTTTATGGCCATTACCAATGATGGAGATTATGTCTGTACCAAGAATGTTTAGGTGCTTTCCAGTTAGCCATTTTGTACAGGCAGAAGCACAGGTTAAAAAACACAATGGAAACAAACAAAAAAACAACCCAAAGCCCATCTTAGAGACTGGGTAATTTCAGATGGCAATCTGGGTTGAGACCTAGACTGTTGTTACTATGCTGCAAGTGCCATCTAAGTTAATTGATTTGAAGCTAATTCAGATATGTCTATATGAGGGGCATCCATAGATCCATTGCAGCATAGACACACATTCAGTCTGAACTGTTTTGTCAGCTCTTTTATACTAGTAGAGGATATACATCTAAATTAGCAATAATTCAGCGTTTGAGTGTTATTCAGATCTAAAATAAGAATAGCTCATATTTTGTGTTTGACAAAAATACTAAAAGTTAATTTTAAGTCCGGTAACTTTCTCTGTAGTAATACAGTTCTTGAGATACCTGATGTCCACATCTCAGTCTAACCTCTGCTTGCTCTTTCTAGGTCTGCAGCCATACACTAATTACAGCTTCATGCTTACTGCATGCACATCTGCTGGGTGTGCTTCTAGCCAACCACTTTCAGGTCAAACTTTACAAGCTGCTCCACACGGTAAGGGAAAAGGCATTATTATAAAACTGTAAAAGGATGGTCATATGGGCTTGTATTTTCTGATGGTTTAACAAGGTACAAAACTCCACTATCATCCATCAAGCTATCATGTATAAATTTGCACAGGAGAATCCATCTCTCTTGGAGTAGTTGTATCTTAACACACTCTTTATGCTGACTGCCTGGCACTGCATTTCTACATTCTTTTATTGACAATTTCCCCAAGTTCATCTTTAAGTCAGCAAGGTTAGAATTAGCAGAGTTTTTTAAAACACAAGTAAATATGCAGAGAGAACTGGACATATAAAGGCTGCAGCATTTGGCCTGGTTCTCCATCAACCTGTATCTTGTCTAGTTGGTTGCATTTGGTATATGTTTAATTCAGAATGTGTGATAAGTTCTGTAATTCTCTCTGGCAATGTTTTATGCTTTCATTACACTGCTGAAAGCAACAGCACAAACTGTGGGAATGGAAAAAAAACTTATGTTTCCGTCATAAAATTAAAATAGTGTCATTGTGATGTTGATAGGGGTGTGGCCACAACCTCATCATATCATAGTTAGCTCAACAGACGTGGAAATATACTGGAGTGAACCAAAGAAACCCAATGGACTCATTACTCAGTATCGATTATTTCGTGATGGAGAAGAGATTTTCCTGGGTAGCAGTACAGACCTGAATTTCACAGATATTAACCTGCAGCCTAACAGTAGGTAAGGCATGTTAAAGAGCTCTGGTAATATATGAAAGGTGTTCAAAATACATGTAAACGTGTTTGTGAAATGTACAAAATATAAGTTATGCCTTTAACAAAAAAAAAAATCTCTTAGGACAGTTACTTGATTACTGAAAAATTCATAGAACACTTTTAGGAGAATTCCAAATGTTGGAAAACCTTAACCAAAGGATTTATCTTCTTTTCCTTTTCTGAGAATACAGGTTTCTGATTCAAAGAAGGGGGGGGCAGGGCTTTTTTTTTTTTTCCCCTTGGGTGGTTGTTGGTGACTCCTTGGTTGGTTTTCTCCTTCATGGAATATACTTAGAAAAATTTAAGTCTTTGTGTGGCAGATACCACTACATATGGTTTCTAATGTTTCTGTGGATATTGAACATAATGGCTCAAAAGTAGCAGCTGCTGAAATTTTTCTAGAAGCCATGCTGAGATTGGTTTTGACACTTTTTGGGTCAATACTTCTGTCTCTTATGTAAGCATATGTAAGCTAACATGAATTTTAATATCAAAATTATTATTGTGATAAGTAATGTTACTTTTCTCACATTAGGAAAACTTAAAGGTGAAAATCTTCACTCATGCAGTATTTGTAGGACTCTTTGTGTAATCTGTTCACTTTAAATTGGTGAAAACAGAAATGTTTTATTACTGAAATGCCTAAAGCTTCTAACCAGAGTGTCTCCTGATCTTTTTGTGTTTGCGCAGATATGTTTACCAGCTGGAAGCCAGCACGTGGGGCGGCAGCAACACTAGTGATAAATATGTTATACAAACACCAGTAGGAACACCAGAGAAAATTCGTGTCCCATATAATGTCACAGTAATTGATGCATATTCTATATTTCTAGCTTGGGACGTACCAGGTAACAACATATTTCTATGTAGTACTTTGTAACAAAATGAAAGGATGGAAAAATTAGTATATTCAGGCAGGCAGGCGAATCATTTTGATATTTTTATTCTTCATATTTGGTTTTATTGTTTGATTTAAATAACCAGTATCTAAAGTTGCTGTTTCCTAGATATGTATTATTTTAATAATATTGACCTGTATACTTGACATGGGTGTTGTGAGGATTAGCTGATCAAAAAGCTGTATGTTAATTTGATCTTGTAAACTATTATTGAGTGCAAGTATTAAGGAAAAAAAACATGACACTGAAAATAAGTTTTCCATTCTGTTCAAACCAGCCTGGGTTATCGACAGGGAAAGCTGCCAAGCTTTTGGGTTGGTGATATCTTGATAGCTATCCTGGCAATGAAAATGTCCAGTTGTCCTGCAGGTATATGATGTCAAGCTCCTATAACAAAAGGTGTAGAGTGTGACATAGAGATCCTGTGCCAGCTTGACCTGTTTGAGTAACATTTTATTCGCCAGAGCACCATAGTGTTATGTGGACATGCTACCTTGCTGGTGGGTGGGTCAACCAAGGCTCAGAAATATTTTTCCTCTTGTTACTCTTCTCCTCAACATCACTGGGTTGTCTTGGTCTGTTACAGAAGTAGGATAATTGAATAATAGCATCTTTTTCTATGAGAGACTGTGCTGTTTTGTTAATATAGATCATAGCTTAAGTGATTGGTGTACTTCACTGATGTTAGGAAAATGATATGCTGTAGTTAATTGTGAGACAATAGGAGCAATGTAAATAAACAATTTTCTCTCTATTGTAGCTCATCTTCAGAAAGGTGTTTTCTAGTTTCTAGATACCCTTTTTTGTAGTTAAAATGAGGACAATTTTTTTAGAAACTTCAGATGTTTGCATATTGCAATAACAATAATATGTGTTTTATCAATGATCTCAGGGAAGCTTTTCATGTCTACTCTTCCTAATTATTTAAGATGTTCTTTCCTTGCATAGCAGTCACAGTAGAGTCAATTGGCATTAAAAAGAAAGTCACCTAGAAAAAGTATTTTGCCTTCATGGCTGGGATCGCAAGTATTGTGGCAGTGCTTAGCAACGTTCACCCTACCCATTTAAGCAATGATTAATAAATCTATAATACCCTGAGCTGTCAATCTTTTAGTTTTCAGAAGCACAAAATCCATTATAGAAATGCTATAATATATGAAAAAGATTAAAATCTTAAATTAAACTTTTACCCCTACTGCCTGAAAGGATTTAGAACCCAGCAGAAGGCAGGTGAATTCAAATGGCATATAATCTACAGTTGGTTTTATTGGAAAGTGACTCATGCTGTATTATAGTGTTGATAATAAATGTAATTTAAGGTACAAAATATTCAGCAACATTATAAATAGATTTAAAACACAAGAATATACTGGATAAGTGTGGGCTTATGAAGAATAGGGTGTTTCCCAGAAAAGCTTGTCCTTGTTGTTTTAGACTATTTCTTTTCCAGCTGCTTGAATTCCTGTTACTATCATTAGGTGAGTAACAGGAGGAGAATCAGGCTCTCTCTAGTACATTTCGTTATGTTGCAATTAGGATTATGCGTACAAAGGTTCATGTATTCCTGAAGCCACATGCTCAAAAGGGTGAGATTCATTATGGCTCTGTAGAGGATGCAGGGTTGATGTATTCCCATGGCTGTAGGAATCCTTCTCCTCAGACGGGAAGGCACATGCCTTTCTTCCCAGGTACAGAGACTCACCTTGCACACTTATTTCACTTCTGTGGGTATTTGGTGACACAGTCCTTTCCTCTCTGCCTTCTCATTGTGGGGCAAATTATTTAAGTTTTTAGGTATAAATAAGAGATTGTTTTTCATACATTGCCCCTGTTGGTAGAGAGGAAAGCAAATCTTGCCATTCCTTTTGTTACAGCACCTCAGGACCACTAGCTAAACTCTATTACAGGAATGGAAAGTACTAACAGCAGGGAAATGTTACCAAATGCTACTAAAATTTACCTATGTTGCTAAAAGAAACCTTGTGTGCAGAGGCAGAGGTATATGCAAAAGCTAGAAAATTAATTCTTGAACCTTCATAATCCTGCTTCATGGTCATTATGAGATCTTTGTGTTCCAAGTGTTTTTCCCTAGAGGAAGACTGCAGGGGATGCAGGTGAAGGTTTATTTTGGAGGTTTTGATCTTCTAGAATAGCATATATCCCATTAACACGTCAGATGCACACAGACCTGGGGGCCACCTACACCCCTAGCTTGGTAGGATTGGCCAAAAGAGCCTACAGCATTTTATCCTTATTTATGTAATTGTGCATGCAGTAACTTTTTTTCCTAATCTATTCTTCTCTGTGTATGAATCCTTGTTTCACAATGGGGTATGCTGAGATAATATGAGCTTCCCTTGTAAGCCCAGAATACAGCTTTTATTATAAGAATTGGAAGTCTTGGCAGTCAGTCTTGGACGACACAGTTGTTATAATTGACATAGTGTCTGTGAAAAAAAAAGTGTCTTTTCTTAAGAAAGCTTTGATTTGAGGGTAGGTTGTCATAGTGTTTTCCTGTCTATGGATATCTGGGATGCTTTGGCATTCTATCTTCTTATCTGCTGTAATAAATTTGGATTGAATATTCACCCTCAGGATTCATTATGGGCATCATAGTACACAGGCCATTCTTTTGGATGGCTTCAATTATAATGCTTCAGCATCTGTAATGTATCTAAATCTTATGACTTTATAAATATGTAGCATTTCAAAACTCCTGACTTGGCTAAATAGCAAGGTGGCCGAGTAGTGGTTAAAGTGATGGATTCAGAAAAAAATGTTTGACACACCTCACTCACTATGGAAAATAGGGCTTTATTTTCTGAAATAGGTATCCCATTATCTTGTGTTGCACTGCCTCAGTGCACAGACCTCAAAGGTATGGTACATTTCACTGATACGCTACAGAAGGATATGTTGCAATTATTATGGAACAACTATTAGTGCCACGGATAGAAGCAGAAAAGCTGAATAGAAAAAAACCCACACCAGACAATTCTCCCAAGGCATACCCATAAATGTTATTGACAGGCAGGCAGGTAGCCATCCTGCATTTCAACTCATTGATAACCCCACTGGTCTTCACTGAGGGCCTGATTCTACTAGATATCTTCAGTTGCTGCTGGTGATACCCTGGAAGCTGAGCATGCTTAAAAGAGGATCCTGTCTTCTGCTCCTAGGTTACTTCTTCATATGTTAGTGATCATCTGGATTAAAATGTCTTCTTTCATGATGTTGTTACACTCCACTTCATCCACCTCTGGCTTTGCTTATCAATTAGAATGAAGGTTGTGTAACATGCCTTGATTCCTACTTTATTCTTCTTGGCATTAAATTTGGTATTTGAGGGTCCTTTATTTGTCTCTCAGCTTTGTCTGTTAGCTTCCCCAGGTAACCTGGATTCTCCTTTATTTGTGGCCTAACAAATTGCTCTGACTTTGCTAAGCCAATGTTACATTTCCTCATTTTTGTTTTCTCATGCAAATTACTGTTTGCTCCACATCACTGTAGGACACATTTTTCAAGCTCAATGTCCAGAGTTCTGCCTCATGAAAGCAGTCAGCATCTCCAGCTGTAACTGTCTTCAGAGCCTTGTGGGGAATACTTGATACAACCAGAATGAGATATCTGGATATTTGAAGCTTAGTGTAAATACTTAATCTCAAGAAACCAAATAGATAGTTTCAGTTTGTGAAGTAAAATATTAAAATATAACTTTACTCTTACTTGTTTTTAAATAAAAGATATGACATTCTTATTCTAGTGTTTGTTGACTACAAGTGAAACAGTTCAACTGTTTTGCTTTAAATGTGGTGAGTTTCACATCATATTACACAAGTTTTCAGCAATTGACTTCAAACAGGTTTTGGGTGAGCCGTCTGTAAAGCAGTCTGTGGCTTTTTCCCCCCAAGTTCTAGGCACCTTGTGCTACAAATTCTATTTTACAAGCTACCCTAGTTCTGAAGTACACAGGGACGTCAAACTTAATTTACTGAGTTTTGCACAGAATTGTCCATTAAATGTTATCCAGATATGCACACAAAAAACCCCAAGGTTTAGTTTGATTGACTTGTCCCATTGCAAAATGTGCACCTGCTGTGAAATGAAGTCGCAGAGAAAAAAAGTGGAATAATTTAACTTTTTTATTTGTAAAGATAATCAGGGTTTTTCTGATTACATCTTAACTTCATAAATGTTAAATAACCTATCAGCATCTAGTTGTTGTAAATTATGAAAAAGAGTATTGCTGAGAATATTAACCAACTAAATCCTTGTTCTTTAGTGAACATGAAAATGTGTTATGGCAGGTTGTCATTGTGCTCATGGTAACTTTGACACCGAATAACAAAACTGCCATTTGCACTTAGGGTAAATTGGCTCACTTGTGCTTTTATAGTTCCTTTTATTCTGACATAAATTTATGAACTCTGGAACTAACCAAGTCGTGTGGTTTCCCAACTGACTTTAACAAATATGCCCATTTCATTTCCTTCAGTCATCAGAGCACACAAGGTAGTAGGTGTTTCCGACCGGCTGCAGATGCTGAAGGCTATTCTTGAAGAAGGAGTTTCTTCACAAGTTTCTGTGTTGCATGATTTTTGGGTTTGGGGTTGTTGGTTTTTTTTTTGGTTGGTTGGTTGTTTTCTTTTTTCCCCCCATATTATAGAATGATCCTTTAATGTTAGCATTCAATGAATTTCATCAAGTTGTAGAAAGATTTCCATTGGAAATAGGAATTTTTCAGGATGTTTTCTTCATTTTATTTACAATTTCATGTTCACTTCTTGAAAATGTTTTTTCTCCTGATCATATTTATTACTGGTATCATTCCTAATACATTTGTAACATTTAGCAGAATTTTAAGATTTTGCGTTTGGCAGATTTTTTAGCATTTCTGCTCAGATATGGACACAGATAGCTCATTTATTTTGAAATAAGTGTCCTCTGCTGGATAGTGATGGCTGGATTCAGCTGTCCTTGTTTGCATTTAATCTTCCATGGGAAATCAAGCATTCTGAATAGTTCCCATTTCAAAGGTTTCTGGTGAATTTTGCCTAGAATAAATGCATGGATCAGATGTACAAAAGTGACTTATGTGTCACTTTCATAAGTGGGATTTTCTGGATGAAATATCTGGTCTCTTGTCAGGACTGGAGAAGAAATGGACCTTAACTGCAAGATTTAAGAAAAGGTTTCTATTTGATGTGCTGTCTACCATTTCAAGCTCTTATGTTTGGATACTCTGTTGTGTCCTTTACAGGCACTCCAATTACAGGGGTGGGGGGTGGGGGGGAAAAAAGGCAGTTTAGCTGTAATAATATATCTTTAATTACTGGTATAATTATACAATGCACACTCAAGTGCACTCTTCCACAGCATTTCATCTTCCATATATCACAGACAAAAAACAATTTCTTTGTTGCAGAAGCCATGTACTTCAAGATCACCTCTTAGAGGTTTACTCTGTAACATCCTGCCTGACTTTAAAAGTTGTGTTTCTATTATTCCATTTTAAATAATTAGATTTGGGTGTTTTTGTTGAAATTTTACACTGGAAAAGGAAAATTCTACAGTGGGATTTTTGCACTTTCTGTCTCCTTCTCCCTTCACCTCTTTCAATGACTAATATAAGCATCTTTTTTCTTTCTGTAAAATGTGCAGTTGAATAAGATTGAAGTCATGCCTCCACTTCAGGGCTATTTTTTCAGCTTTTTAGTGTAACAACATTTCCTTTGCCTAGCATACAGCAGCATTTTATTTCTTTGGGATTTTTATATCTTCTTTTTCTTCCAAGAATTGTAAAAACTTGATATTTCAAAGATTTTTCTGATCTTCCAATGTACATCAATTTTTATAGTACCACAAAGAAACTTGAAATCAGTCTGATTTCTTTTAAACTGTTTTGGGTTTGGGTTTTTGGGGTTTTTTTTTTGTGTGTTAATATGTATACACATAATGTGTATTCACATACATACTTAGCTAAGAAGAAACCTAAAAGATGCACAGCAGTGGGAAAAAAATGCTCTTCTTCGTTTCAGGACAATAGTATTAGTGGAGACACTTTATTAGAAAAGGACCAAAAGCACAATTAGGAGAAAGAATTGAGTTGTTTTCCAGAGTTCAGAATGGAAAGTTTCTCAAGATCTGGAAAGTTCCAGAACTACTCACAGGTACCTGGTTCATGGTGCAATCACAGAGACTCCTCTGTGACATCTGCAGTAGGTGTTGTGTGGAAAGAGAAATGTGCTCTTACTAATCAGATGCATCTTGACTAGTTTCAGAAAGGTACCTTGTCTACGTTTTTTTGTGCTTTGTTCTTTTTTAAGACTGTGCCTGAAGTGAATGCAGAGTGAGTGAAATACACTTAACAGCCACTTTTCTTTGGTTATTCTCTTGGCTTTATGAAATTGCTGCTGTCTGCATAGAACAGTCTATAGTGGACAAAAAATAAAAAGCCTACAGACCATGTCATAATTACAAAACCCAACCAACCAACCAAAAAAAAAAAACAAACCCAAACAAAAAAAAAACCTACCCCAAAAACTAAAACCTTGAGAAGTCATGGGAGGAAGCAAGAGGAGATCCAGGAACATCTGCCAGTCATTCTGTGGGGATGGCATATGGCTTAGCTTGTTCTCGTGGACGTTTTTCTCAGATGAAGTTTCTCAGCTTCTCAAGAAAACTGGAAAATTAAGCATTTGACAGCATAGGAGGATATGGGGTAAAATGTTTGAATTAAAACAAAATAGTAAAAAATTCTGGGTTTTTTTCTTCAACAAAAAAGTAAACACTGACAGTTTATTTTCCCATCAGTTGAAATGATATGTTTCTTGGTTGAAGTTAATGTGTTCTACTTTACTGATAAAGCAGGCTAAGAAGTCAGCTACTGCTGCTGGACTAACAAGGGATAATTTGCTGAACAGTGGCAATTCACTTTGACTCTATGACTCTATATTCAAACAGCAGTGCTTAGTAGCTGTTGGCCCTCCAAAATAAAAACATAAAAGTTGCTCGGTTCCCAGTCATAAAGTTACCTCCCCTTCCCAAAATTAGCACAAGCATTGACTGAAGTGAATTTTGATTTTTAACTAAGTACTGTAATGCCTATCTTTCAGTTGTGACCTGCATATGAATGGTTTCAGTTTATATTTAAGTACCTTTAGTTTCCAAAAGAGGCAGTAGGCAAAACCTCCAAAGGGGGCTTACAGTTAAAACTGCATATGATGAATGCCTCTTTAAAGTTGCCCTGCATTGTTGTTAGTATTTCAGATAATCACTTTTCTTCTCTGTTTCACAACAGGGATGTTCATTGTTGATATGCCTTTGGAATACAACATCTTACTAAATGCGAGCAGTCCCACTCTACTGGTGAAGCCAGTAGGTCATGCACATTTTGCTTTTGTCGATGGCCTAGATCCCTACACCTTGTATGAGATAAGAATACAAGCGTGCCAGAATGGTAAGATGATTTTATAAGATGCACCTCCGTGACGGGAAGGGAATGGAGATTTTCTAAATAGATTCAATACAGCAAAACAGAAAAAGAATTCCTCTTTCTAAATTGAAGTCAAAAGTTTACCTAGTAAAAAGAAAGCCTAGCAGTGAATGGGGCCTTAAATATTTCTCCATGTTACATCATTAGTATTTTAAATGGAGATTTTCTAAAACTATTTTATATAATATGTGCCATTTTATTAAAAGCTCTTCACAAACAGCTTAACAATTCTTGAAAATGGGCATATAGAACAAAATCAGTTCTGTAACTGTTCACCCACAAGAAGCAGTAACCATGAAGACAGGAGAGAAAAGGCCAAATATTACAAAAATCCTTGACTTCAATAGAAATTTTTAAAATCCTATTGAAATAAGTCTTTCTAAAATGACATCTTGGAATTAATTCCCTTCTCACCTGCACTGGTGAAAATCAGGAGTAGTTATAGTAATTTAAATGAGTATTTAATAATAAAATGAGGTGAAATGGATTCCCATTTCCTCAGGAACTTCTTTACCTGATATTCATTTGCTTTTACTGTATTATTTGTAACTTCTGCTCCATCATGAGCTCCGTCTCAAAGAAAAGTCTGTGCTGATGAAAGACATATGGGGATTCTGGCACTGCCATCACAGCATGCCAGTTGTGTCCAAATTGGCTACTCCTCAAATTTCTCTCAAAAATTCTCATTATCTTAAGCCTCTTGCACTGATACTTATCTTACTGGCCTGGTGACATTTTTGCACATTATGAAGACCACCATGGGATCCCAAATAGTTTTGTATGGGCAGTGTAACAATTGTAACAATTGTGACTAGATGGACAGTGTCTGAAAAGACATTTAAATAATTCAACATGGAAAAGTATCCTTAACCAGTGAATATTTTTTTTTTTGTTTTATCACACATCATGAAATGTTTTTTTTTTCTTTTTTGGATGTTGGGCTGCTTTCATCCACTAAATGCAGCTATTGTATAGTACATTTGGAAAGGATGTAGGTTTTTTTCTTGTATTTTAAATTATTAAAATTGTCTTTTTTGTTGAGGAAGTAACTCTCATCGCTAAGAAAATATCTGGTTTTGTAGGTGGGTGTGGAGTGGGTGGTCAAACATATTCAAGGACTGCTGAAGCACCTCCTAGAGAATTGAGCCCACCTATGGTTAAAGCAATGGGATCTGCGCTCATAGAAGTGAAATGGGCACCACCTGAAAAACCAAATGGCATCATTAATAACTACTTTATTCACAGGTAAACGCTATTATCATTTCAGATTCTTAGTCTTATTTAGCTCTTCATTTCTTTATTCCTTGATATATAGATGAAGAAAGGTGTAGAAACATATGGTAAAATATATATTTCAAAGGTTAAAGTAAGATGTTGAACTATGGATGGACAAGTTGAGAATAACAGCCAAGACAAGAACCATATTCCTGATCTACAAATGGCAAAAAGCAGGTGAAAATATATTCTAAAAAATTCAAAGGGACAGAAATAATTGTAGGATTTATACACTCACTGTGTTCACCCAGACCAATAGGTATATTCTTCAATACTCTCTGATAGGCAATTGAGAATTTTGAAAAGGAGTAATTCACCATTTCTGAGATTTTTAAAAGTAAAAAAAAAAAAAAAGATATCTAACTTCCTAACATACATGAATTTTCCAAGATAAAAATTCCTCTTATGTTTCTCTTTGTAAGCAAGTAACCCGGAGTGTGATTAAAGTGCAGCTCCATATTATACAACCTTCCAATTAAATTGCCTCTATTTATGTTCCTTGGTGTTCGTATTCAGCTGCCCTGCCTAGGTAGTTCACTGACACATCCTCACTCCCTACAACGAGCTTCAGAAGCTCTGCATGAGGATTTTGCTTTATAGGTAGCTGTGTTTAAGGAAGTATGAGAGAGGCAGAGCACTGACGTCTGCTGTGCCTATTGACCCTTTCAGAAAAGCTTGCTGCAGGGACCTTCTTGAATAGCTGCAGAAAGGCAGGGAATTTAAGCCATGGTTTGGAGAGGAACTTAAAGTCTGAAGTTCCTGGTTTTCCCAACTCTACATAAGTGTGGCAAAGACATGCCGGGCTGAATCTTGCCTCCAACAGAGAGTATGGGACATGTTATTATATTAGAGCTGTGACTGAGAAGGCAGGGAATCAAATTACCTTTTGGAATCAGCAGTGATAATTAATATAAATTCACTTTTGCTTTAAACACATTAGTAGTCTCTAAAATTTCCAGCTCTCTTGAAATATCCTGTTGTTTGCTTTTTTTTTTAATTGTCTGATCAAAAAATAACCAGGTCCCTCCCCTGTAAAAAGAGGAATAAAGTGTATGTTATAGCCCAAGACATGTCTTCACTCTGTTGGTCTTGTAAATAAAGCTGATGATTACCGCTGCTATTCCCTGGCAGCCATAGAAAGGGAAAACAGGAAATATAATGCAGAAAGCCTGCTTCAATGAAAAATACTGTAAATTGAATTTGACAGCATTTGATGGCATTTGATTATTCTAGTCACAGCCAAACAATGATATAAAGAGTAATATGAAACAGAATGTGTTACTGCCTAGCAGACTCAAAAGCAATAAACCTTCCTCCAATGTGACACAATCACTTCACAATCATAATTGTAGCCTGTTTGATACCTCTGAGTACAGCAGAAGGGCACTGACTGACATAGATACATTTTGTTTTTTATTTAAAGTGAAATGAAAATGGCGCACTGGGGCTCCAGATACAATCGTTATATTCACCTACATAGGCATGAATCACTTGGCAGTTATTTCAGCTGAAGTTTAAATGTGCTTAGACAACAACAATATCAAATCTTTCTCAGATAGCTGCAAAAAAATCAGAAATGGGATGTAAGCACATAGTTCTTTTTCATTTTGTAGCCACACATAGCCTTACATTGTTATAGCAGCAAGACTGCAGTATTTCTATGGGAGGTTATGGCATGTAATTTCTTCTTCATCATGTGCTTCTTCCTTACTGCATCACCACCAAAATAAATTCATTTAACTCAAAACCTGGAATGCTTGGGGAGCTAGTGTGTGTGCACATCTTTGCATTAAAATGGCAGGACATGTACTTTCCTCTAGAATCATAAAAGCACTTGCAGGTTTGCAGCCATTTTGTTAGAAACCAAAGAATTAAATTGTTATTTTATTGTAAAAGAGATAATGATATTTTATTTTTTGATTCATATAGCAGTTTTAAACACAGATCTGAGTCATTTAGACTTTTCTAGGAAAGACCACAACTTAGAAGAGATTTTTTTCTCATTCACGGTGTGGTTCATGAGACAATCACCCAACCTACTTCTCTTACCATTCATCATTTCATAACATCCTTGCGACAACCACAGAAATTTCTAGTGTGGAAAAATAATATTATGGAAATAGGTTATGTATTTCTTGCTGTATTTTAGTAAGATACAGGCCACATCAGCTAATGGAGCTGCTCTCCATTGACCACTAACATGCACTGTGTGGGATGCACAAGATGATGCTTAAATAACTACTGCCTGTAAAATTTTAAGAGTTTGGTTCATATCTTGCTTAAGGGAGCGTCTGAATTTATGTCAAAGTGTCTATGTAATGTTCAGTAGGATTATATTATTTAGTATAAATATGTGAGATTGTCATGTAGCTCTCGTTAGCGGACCAATTCTGATGGTGAAAATGTAGCACAAAACTCAACAAGCAATTTAAGACAGAGGACATGTCTCGGTGGCTGCTGACTGTTGTGACTTGCAGTCTAGAGGCTTCTAGACTGACTGTTAATGCTTTTATTGCTTACTCTTATACCCTTAACTATGATCTGCACTGAAGACAGCTTCCAAGGAACATACATTGGTAGATGGATGAATATAAGAATTAATATGGTATGTCACTGAGTATAAGAACTCCTGAAGGGGTTTATTTATATATTTATACTTATATTTTATATTTCAAATATATTTATTTATTTTCATCTGTAATTGCTAGAACACCTAATCTAAACAGGCATATTACATGCAATAATATCAAATTCCTTTTGTTCACTTTTTTGTAAAAAAAAAAGAAGAAAAATGTACAAACTACATTACTTTAGATTTGTTTAATCCAAATGGTAAGCGGGGCTGCTTTGGTTAATTGAAGGTGAAATTATAGATGGGGAACATCGTTTATGTTGCATTTTTCCCCCATATTTGAGAGTGTGATTCCCCAATCATTTGAATTTTACCCCAGGACTTCTCAGTGTTTCGAGAAATAACTCACTACCAGTCTGGTAAGCAGGCCCTGCTAAAGCATGTACTTTTGTTTCATGGGGAAAGGTAAACATGTGATGAGTCATTCTGGGTTGACCTGCAAGACCTCAGGGATTCACTGAGTCTCCTTCCACTTAAGAAAGCAGAGGGGTGAGTGTTGCAGTTAGCAACTCTGCATACAGCTCTATAGTTATCTGTCACAAAGAAGATAATATTCTCCTCTCTATGTCATCTGGCTCAGATTGGCAGTGGGGCAGGGAGAATTTGCCCTTATAAAAATAACTCTATCTGAGCATCTTTAAAATGAATGTAAGCAGCAAATCAGACCATGCAGATTAACAGACAGCTTCCAGCTCTTGGAAATGTTATTCTCCTTTGCAGCTCATTGTACATAAGAAACACTTCCAGTTAAATGAGCAGTTGAATCTTAAATCTTAAGAAGATTGAAATGATTACAGACTGTTCAACCACTTCTGTTCAAAGTTTATTCATACACGAAAATATTCTGGTTTTTAGCACTACAGATGGAACCATTTACCTAACCATAAGTTTCATTCATTAAATATTCAACAGTAATAAGATCTAAATACTTAACCAGACTACACTCTACAGCTTTGCTTGCAGATGAGCTTACAGTTGGTGGCATATCTGATCTTTCAGTATGAAAAAAATATTTATCACAGAGTTTCAAAAATTTATAAAATGTAAATATGTCTATTCATTTAAGTGCCATACTGTTCGGTCAGACATGACGTATTAAATGTGACTTTACTGAAGTAAAATATACTCTCGTTTGACTTATCTACAGAGATGTTTTAAGCATGTTTTTGAGTACAGAGGGAAAAGTCTGTATTTTTAGGTGCAGGAGAAAGTCATAGTGGCGATTCACCTTTCAGAACTGTGTCTTGCATTCAGGCAGTGAACAGCATCTAAGGGAGAGCTCTGCATAAGGCTTAATTTACCATTACAGTAGAGCATGGGGAAGTGTACTAAAAATAGCTGATGGAATTTTGGGATCAATGGGAAATTTTGTACCCCAAGTCTTCCAAATAATTTGTTGCAAGAGAGAGAATTGCTAGGGAATCTTTCCTGCCTGTTTTACCTGCCATTCTTCACCCAATTCTGCCAACCAATTCTCAGTATCAACACATCTTTTAATTTGTCTATTACACTACACTAGAGACATTGTACCTCAAAATTCTTCTTTTTTTAAAATCACACTTTAACTCTTTTAAACTAAACAGTGTACATATAGACTGCCTAGCTCAGAGTTTAGTCAAAGTCTTTTTCTTCATCAAAGTAAATACTGTATTCATGCATGCCTTACATATGGCTATACACAAAGGATGAACAGCTTTGTACACACATGTATTCATTGTATTCTTCATATTTGCATGTAAATACCTGGGTATATATTATTACAAGCAACTCAGATTATCAGTTTTAAAAAATTGTTCTATTTTTTATTTTTAAAGTAATTCCTGGGGTTGATCTAAACAAAAAATAATTTAAAAAAAAGTCCAACACAATTATGTGAAATACAGATTTCTTTCTTGCCAAAGAAATGTTCTTCAGCTTCTGTGTGTGTGTAGTGATGACGACACCTAGTACTCGGACAAACCAATTTGACTTCTGCAAATTTGCCCTACTTGCAATAAAAGTGGCAGATAATGTAATTTGTTTGTTGTTGTTGGCATGGAGGGTGAAAGTGCTTTTACATTCTGCAAAGTCCAAGGTTCCTGTGAAGAGTAGGAAAAATACTTGAATTCATGTGCAGTACAACATGACTGTCATTGAGATTTATCACAGTGTTTAAATGTAACCAACTTAATTTCACACAAACATTTTTATGCCAAGTGAAAGAATTGATTTGATAACTCTGTTTTGAAGATGAGAGCTTGGCTTATTACAACTGTTGTAAATTATACACTAGAAGAGACCACATTAAAAACTGGCTGAGGATCATCTGTTATCTCCTCTGATACTCTGAATATCACCAGGTCCAACACAACACCATCTGTAGTAGTAATGTTATATCTGTGTATATATGTATCTATATGTTTGTGTGTACATAGAGGTATACATACATAGGTACAAAAATGAAAAAAAAAAACCAAAAACAAAACCACCAACCCAAACCATTCTGCCAGAAGCTTATATAGTGAATTGTCTTCAGACATCTTAAGTTTTCATTCTTCAAGAAAAACAGCCTTGCAAAAAAAAATTACATAATTTATCACAGAAAGTACTACTTGTGATATTTTAACTAGTTTTTTGGTGGAGCTGCAAATTCTGCTGTTTATGCACAAGGGATTACTTATTTCATTTCCAAGAAGAAATGGGATCTTTATTGTGAGCAAACCAGAATTTAAAAGTGCGCAGCTTTGGTTTTGAGGGCATGATAGAATATTTTTCCCTTATTCACTAGGTAATATTTTTCTCAAGTAAATTGGTCGTAAGTTTTCCATAAATGAGGGATCCTGAGCTGAGTACCTCCAAAAATAGTTTGATTTTCAGAAATGTTGAAAACTTGCATCGTTATTGCAATTCAAGTCATTTATATTTAGCAATTACATATGGGTTTAAAATTTCACATTCTAAATTCTGAAAGTCTCATATCTGATGTGTTCTGTCCTGAAAGGACAATATGCTGTTGTGTTGCTACTCTGACACTACGGACTGTGACAGCACACCTGCACATTTGCTTGACATGTTTTATAGTATTCTTCTAGACAAAGGAGAATAATTAAATGATTGCCTCAAAAATCTCTTCTTCCTTACTTAACACCTAAGACAAGTTCAGGGAAATGTTTTTAAGATGCAAAGATAGACAAGCAGTTCCTTGTGTGTGTGTAATGTATAAAAATAAGTCCTGTACTTTTCTGAGGTACAGGTTGAACTTAGAACTTCAGGGCCTACTACCATGGGTCTGTTAAAGTTAGTTTCAATTTTAAACATATTGCTTTTGATTTAATTGCAGACGTCCTGTGGGCAGTCAAGAAGAACTCCTTTTGTTCATCTGGGCTGAAGGAGCCTTGGAATTTATTGATGCATCTGATGCTCTACAACCTTTTACTCTCTACGAATATCGTGTCAGAGCTCAAAATGCTGTGGGGTCAGTGGACAGCCTGTGGGCTTCAACCCAAACGCTGGAGGCTTCCCCATGGGGCATGGGAGCCCCTTCAGCCCAAGCTACAAGTGCATACTCGGTGCGGTTGAACTGGACCCAGCCTGCCTCTCCCAACGGTGTTATATCTCTGTATCGAGTAGTCTACCAAGAAAAACGCAGCGATCCAACATTTAGCATCCCGGCTGTCACAGCACTAACCGTAATGGTAAGAACTGGACCACAGAACCAGTTTTAAGTTGTTCTTACTTGGCTTTGGTTTCGGTGGTATTTCGAAATCTCATGTAGCACTGATTGGAAAAGTGTGGTTTCCAATTGCCAGTAGTTTTGTTGGTTCAAATGTCATATTTGGCCCAATGCAGACTGAAATATTTCACATTAATATCTAATTCTTGGTAGAGACAAATACATTACTGGGAAGCATAGATAGGTCTTGTCTGCAGGAATTAAGCACATGCACTTAATTTTGCTAGCCTTGCTCTGAATATACTGTCCTGAGCTTTTTGTCTGACTGTTGAAATAGTTTCACAGGAGCTGCACACAGAACAGCAAGACCACTCCTCCTTGTATATAATTTTAGCTTTGTAATTCAGTTGGAATTACAAAGTAAATTAATTAATTAGTAATTACATAGTTCACATATGCAACACATTTGCAAGTTCCTCTCATAATTCATCAGTAATAAAGGCAGATCTACTCTTACTTCCATTACATGTACTTACATTAGAATGTTACTTTGCACTGCTAACATATCTTTCCCTTCAAGGGACTTTCCAAACATGAATGTTTGTAAACATTACATTTCTATTCAGTATGTGGAGGGATAGACCCAGGAAAGGGCACTTTGGTTTGTGGACTGACTAACAATATTATGTAAACCTGTGACTGAAGTGGTGGTTATGGTTTGTTCAGTTACCACTGCTCCTCCTATCTGTATATTACATTCTAGAACGAGAGGTTATAGATGAACTGAACTGCTGTATATTAGTATAGCTGCTGTACTTGGCTGTCTTCTGAAAATAAGTTTTAGAAAATATTTAAGCAGGTTGTAATAAAGTTGGGTTTCTTCAGCATTGCCACCTCAATTTCATAAACCTAGAATTTTCCCTAAACTATATTCATAGGCCATGTTTGTATTGTATAACACCAGAAATCCCCTAAATTCTTAAATACCCCAATTATAAAATATCTGTTTGACATCCAAGTAGTATCCTAAAGAGCTTTCTCTGCAATACCCAACAGTAACCTTTCAGTAACTCCCTAAGATAAATCTTGATGTGACAAGGTGGGAGAAGTTTCCAGCGATCTTATATACCCTTGTGATCATATGGTTCCAAAGCAGGTTTGTGTCTAGCTTCCTGGAAGCCTAAACAGATTTAGTTTGTAGTATATCTTTTCCTGAAAAAGAAAGTGTGTCCTGAACTGAATGATAGGAATATATGGTTCTGGCTTCTGAATTAGTTACATTCTCATTGTACAGTATGCTAGGTTTTAAAAAGTAGATTGGGATTCAAAAGTTACTGAACTTCAGTAGCATTTTGGTACTTATCTCCCTTAACTAATTAAAAAAAAGAAATCACAATCATAATCATGATGGGACACCTAAGATTTCAAAATCAGCAAAATGACAGGGCTTCTCCTAATAATCTGCTTCAGCAGCATGCAGTGTGTTGCTGAGCATCAGAATTGACCTGGCCAGTCATGCATTGCAATGTCTTCTAAGCATGCCAACAACAACAGAAAATGTCCAAGATGGTTGTATTGTGGGTAATAAAACCTACCAAAACGGTCTTTTAAATAATGTTGCCACAGTGTGTTTCTTTAACAGCATCAGTTAAAAGCCTTTCAAATTAACAAGTTATTATTTACTGAATTATTATTTTCCTGGCTCCAAAATCCTTTATTTTCCCCAAACACTATCCTGAATCAAAATTATATTCTAGCAGCATATGCAGAGCCATTCTACTAGCATTGCAGTGAAGCAGACTTGCATGTTTTTTCTACTGTTCTTTGTTGTGAACATTTATCGATTATTATTTTTGTTACTCTTTTTTATTTTTAAATATTATACTACCCTTTGGGAGAAATCTTTCTGCAGAGCTCTTCCATTGGTTGCACTCATTTTAAGCTGTTGCAACTACACTATCTTCATAGAGTTGTTACTGATTTATACCAAGGAGCTGAGATCTGAATCCTACCTCTTCTGAATATACAAGAACAGCTAAAGCTTTGAATCAAAGTTATTGACATGAAGTGCACAGAGTCCTGTTATCAAAGATATCTTCAGGAGGTCAGGTCAATTATCCCAGCAGGCAAAGACCCGGACACCAACTTTCAAAGTTATAACCCCTTAAAAATAGAATTTTATCATTAAATTGCTGATATACCCTTAACTGTAGCTTTGTGGATGAGACACTTTAATTAAAATGTAATTTTATTGAAGGAACTAGCATTCCAATGATTAAACTTCTGCCCCTTTAAAATATAGCTTTCAGGGGTACTAGGCTAAATCATTTAATCTCCTAAAACATCTCTATTGGAGCTCCCTCGTGGGATACGCCATTAGTCATTCTCTCACACAAGCTTCCATGTTACAAGCAAGACTTAAAGTATTAAGCAAGCAATGAGTTCGGTCCTTTATTTAATCTGTTAGACTCCATTCTTATCCTATTAGATTATTCCAGAAAAAAAAACAGTGCTAGAATCACAGTAAATGATACCACGTTTGCTCTTGTCAGTTGCACCCCGGTTCCCTGCCACAGGACTTAAAGCTTGACCAGGACCTAAAGTAGAAATACAGTCCTTGTGATGCTGCAAGATACAAATTAAGCTCTTGCTAATATCCCTGCAGACTGTTGTAAGCTGACAGCTTCGTTTTCATCCATTGCCACAGCCAAATGAGAAGCATCTTCTGGGTTTTCAAACCATTTGACACGCTCATCCCCTCTACCTTCCCAAAGGCAGCTATACACTCCCTATTTAAGGTACATTAGTCTGTATTTGAATTGAAGTGCCAAAGGTATGGCTGTCCAGTACCTTACGGTTATTGCTGACCCCTTGAAAATTTACACTGCCTATAGTGATAAAAATGAGAACTCAGTTCTGAGAGCAAAAGCTGCTGCCACTCAAACAAAAGGATCTCCCTGCACCGTTCGAAGCAAGTGAAGTACACGAGTCATTTTATGCTTCGCAGTTAAAGAGGAGTGTCACCCATTTCTCTAGCTTGTTTGGCCAGGATTGTAGTGACACATGTTAGGTGACAGCAAGTTAAACTGACATGCTGGTTTATTTGCAGAGCAAGTCAAGACTGGTTACAGCAGTACAAGTGTCTCCCGCAATGTCTTCCCCATTCATTTTAACCCTCTAAAGCAAGGGTGATATTTAGTGTCTTAGTGACAGCACTAACGGGAGCCAGATGTGTTTATAGAGGAGTGGATTGACACTAAGTTCTCATTTACAGAAATCTGCATAAAGTGACTGGGTTGTCAAAGCAAACATCTTACTCATGAACTTAGGGTTTAAGCTTGTGAACATAGGACCCAGGGCTGATTCCATTATAAGGCCATATCCAAACGGCATCAAGGCATCAGAGCCCTTTAACTGTTGTATTCCAATGATCGCTATGAGGTAAAAACTGGGGGTAAGTGTGGACCTTTCCTTGCTAGGTGTTTTGTGGGTATGTAATGCTTTTTCTCCCATTACAATGGCATCAAGTATTTCGTTGTTTATCATGAGCTGGATAATTCAAAGCCAAGAAGGTGAGCCAAAAATTTAGCTGCTAGAATGTGCTTGGAGAAGAAAAAGCATCCAGAGGTGACCCCCATTATTACCATGTGGAATCAAGGCCACAAAGTGTCAAGTCTGCCTCAGCAGAGTGTAACTAGAAGTATCGTGGGATTGTTAGAGGATGCATGAGCGAGGTGTAAGCATTATAGGCCTTATTCCCAGGAAATCCTACACCTGGGCCTACCTAGAAGCACAAGTCTACTCACATGGTGTTTTTGCAGTATGAGGCTCTCAAGCCAAATTTATCCTACAAGGCTTTTTTGGCATTACTATGTCAGCTTGGGGTGTAAAAAATTAACACGTCTCTTAGCTGATAGCTGTTAGCACTGGACCAGCAAAACCTTTGGTTTGGATGCAGCTATGCTAACAGTTGAGAACATATGTTGGCTTACCTTACATTATTTGGAGAGATAGTATACAGCTACACTGGCCAAGCATCTCTTGGCAGATGCTTCATCTGTGGTAGGGAAATCTGTAGACATATTGCAGAGTAGCAATAATAATAGAGATTTTGGTAGAAGGATAAGGCTTTGGCTTGCATGATTATGCTTTTATAACCAGACAGTAATTTGTATATCGGATATATAACCAGACTGAAAGTAATAAGTAAAGTCTACTTGCTGAAAAACATCATCTAAAATATATCAGAAGTAATCTTAAGTGGCCAGTACTGCCATATACGCACACCTCCTATGCAGGATTTTACAGATATCTGGAATCTTGCATCCAGCGTTAATTCTTTTCTATTCATCACATTCAGAAATACTTAATACATCTGTGTGTGAACGTTTGGCAGCATTAGAGATGAGATACCATGTAGTTATTAACTTCCTTGTATACAATATTATTCTGTAATGCAGTATGCAGGACTGTACATGACAACTTCCTTATAGAAGAAGGTATGAAGATCATAGCCACAAGTATAAGAAAAGATATGCCAAAGAGAGGGACTAGTGAGACTTTTTTATACAAGCCTATTTCAGATGTCTGGGAAATGGACTGCATTCTAAGAAAACAACATGAGAGTGAATGGAGGAATCCCTACACATGCCATAAATTCAGAAGATGTGGTACTTAGCAAAGAATGAAAGCTGTAAACAGCGGTGGAGGGCAAAAGTTAATTAGGCTACTGTGCTGCTGTTAGCGAGTGGAAAATAGACACAACCAGAAACAAGATGGCTGCTCAGCAGTGCCCTAATGCAGCCAAAAGTTCATATCCTTAGTTCTGCAAGGGCTTATGGGTTAGGGGGAAATCATACACAGATGACTAATTTTTTTATGGTTCACAGCCGATCAAAGTGAAATTCAGCAGCTGTTCAGGACAAGTGACCACTCTAACGGCTGTAATATAACCTGCTAAATAGAGAGGGAATTGCATGAGAGCAAGAGGTTAGCTGTGATTATCGGCAGGTGAGTGCTTTA